GATACAAAATCAAATTCTTGCATTCCTAAAGAGTGTAAATAAATAACTAAAGAAGAGGATTGTCGCTATATGACACTTGATATACCATCTTTATAAGCTATTCCATGCTAATGGTCTAATGGTTCTTGCAAAGAACTTGAAAATGAAGAAATTGAAAAACTTCAATTATTAGATTGTATTAAGTATGGAATGCTACATTATACTTGGTAAAGCTCTACTTCAAAATGTTAATAATGTAATTCCTTTGTAAAAAACCCAAATTATGCATATTATGAAGAATTAATGTATGGAATTGAATTTTTTAAATTGTTGTCACTATCAGTGGTCCTTTTAATATGAAATTATTCAATAAAAAATAATCGATAAAATATTTTCATTTTTTTTTTAATTGTAAATTAGTTAAAATCTCATTATTTGCGAAATGTGATTTTTAATTAAATTGAGCATTTAATCTCCATGAATTTAGCTTAATTTAATAAAGGTAAATTGGTTATCAACTTTTATATATAAACTTTATAATCGAATAAATTATCAATATTTTGCAAATAATTTTATTTTAAATACTACAATATGCAAATAGAAATTAATTGAAGATTAAAAAATGCATTTTAGATTGTTAAGATGGATAGGATCTATATATATAGTAGGAAGTGAAAAATGAGAGAGCCAATTAAAAGGAATGAAAAAAATTAAATTTTTTTTTAATTTGATTTAAATTTTCTTAAAATTATAAGAAGAAAAGTCATTGATTATTTTTTTGGTTAAATTATGTATGTATTATTTAGAGTATAAAAAGTTGATACTATGAATTGGTATAGGGTAAAAGCTATTAGATAATAATTGATTAAGAAATAATTGAGATTTGTAAAATATTTAAAAAAATAGATATTTATATTTAATTGGATGAGCAGAAAAGAATAAGACATCAAGAGATTGATTGCTTCATAAGTAAAAATGTTTTGTAAATGATTTCTTCTAGTGTCACATTGGTACAAAACAACTCCATTTCGATATGAAGAGATATGTATCACACAGAAGTGATAATGGTGCATATATTCTGAATTTAGAGGAAACCTGGTAGCACATAAAATTAGCTGCCAGAGTAATAGCAGCAGTTGATTAACCTCAAGATGTTATGGTATAATAAATGATGATTAATAAAGGTTGTTTCATCAAGACCAATTGGATAAAGAGCAGTCATAAAATTTGCTCACTATACTCATGCTAGCTCAACAAGATCATCAAGATGGACACCAGGTACATTGACAAATCAATCAAACAGTGCTAGTGGAAAATTCTAAGAACCCTAATTATTGATAGTAACAGATCCACATTTGGTATATATTTAAATAAATATTTATTAGGATAAATAAGCTATTGTAGAAGCATCTTATGTTAATATTCCAGTTATTGCTTTATGTAATTCAGATAATCCTTTGTAATATGTTGACATTCCAATTCCAGTTGGAAATAGAGAAACTAAAGCAATATCAATGATCTATTGGTTATTGGCCAGAGAAGTCAAGATCTTAAGAGGTGAATTGAGATAAGGTAATACATTAAACTATAATATTATAGATGAAGAATGGGATGTTTTAGTTGATTTGTTCTATCACAAGGAAATCACTAATGATTAATTGGGTGTAGCAGATAATTAAGTTAAATAAGAAGGTGATGGAGAAGAACCAGAATAATAAGGAGATGCTGAAAAAGCTGATAAAGATTGGTGATAAAATATATTATAATTATGTAAAGTACATGTATGTCAATTAGTTTATTTTATATATAAATTATATTTAATAATTTTATTAATGAGTAATGCATTTAAGTCTGCAGCTGGAAATACATTATCAAAGAATGATTTAGCCTAAACTAATTAGAGTTTTGCAGGATCTCAAAACCCTGCATCATTAAAAGGAAAGCTTATGAGTTTAGAAGTAAATTGATTATCTTATTTAAGGAAACAATCAAAGGAATCTAAGATGAAATGAATTTTCATAAAAAGGAAGTTCAAATCCTTAAATCTGAAAAAGATACTCTTGAATCTGTGTTGAGTATGAAAACTCAGGATGTCAAGAAAACACTCACTAATGAACTTATGAGAATAGAGGAGGAAATGAAAAGGTATACTATTGTTTCTTTAATTTTAGACATTTCGCACATCAAAAAGCTGAGAATTCGAGATTATAATAATAAATCACTGCCTTAAAAGGTGAGAAAACTGCACTTTAATAATAATTACTTGGTCTCTAAAGGAGAATTGCAGAATTAGAACTCTAAGTAGGCTAAGAATAAGCTTGAATATTATGACAAATCAAATATCATCATATTAATAATCTTTGTTACAATTATTCAATTACTTTCACATTATTTATTGTTATGTGAATCCTTCATAGTTCATTAAAAGAAAACTAAAATGAAGTTACATAGATCATGCTGTTCAACTAATTTTAAGTGCATCTTCTATCTTTTTCAATTCCATTGAATTCTAATTTCAATCCTGATTATTTATAAACTATTACTAATACATCTTTTATTCATAATCCTTTTTTTTCAATAATGAGGCTGATTAAAATCAAAAACAAGATTTACTTTCAATAAGTTTTTCAAATCAAATCTATATCTTAGTATTTCTGACAAAACCAAAACAAAAATTTGTTAATACTATATTATAATTTTTGTACAGTAATCAATTCTCAGTCTTTAAATCTCTATAATGTATGATTAATGAAGAATATCTGTGCAACTAACAGTTCGTCAACATTGAATTGAAATAAATTTTCAGGAAACTTGAATCATTCATGAGTAAAGAATGAATTCTTCTACTAGAATAAAGTCCATAAAAATATAGAGACATGAAGAATTTTTGTAAGGTATAATACAGCTTCTCTATAGAATACATATTATTGACATGATATATACCTGCTCTAACTTTTAAGTCGGTATTTTATCTAATTATTTTCACTGTTAATAATTTTTGATCGTCATATTTTTTTCAGTAGTAATAATTTTGCAAAAGATCTTCCACTAATTGATTAAAATTTTGCTTTACATCAACACTTCACTTTCTATTCTTAATTGAAGAGTCTTCCCTAAATCTATCATCTTTATTCAGTTTCAAACAAATCACCTTTAAAACGTAGTGATATTAATGTTTATTCAGTTTGCTAATTTAAGGATATACTCATTAATTATTATTATTAAAAATAAATTTACTATCATTTTTTTATTTTGTATTTCTCTGATTTCTTATTTATAGCAATATACTATGACTGATGATATAATCCAGATTTAATATTTATTAATATGTATTAATCTTTTATTATTAGACATTTTAAATTAATATATTAATATTTTTCTATGTTTATCTTCTTCGTCTATTAATATTTATTTTTATTATATATTTAATCTTTCTAAAATTGATAATGAATCCAGATCCAGATGAAAAGGATATGATAGGAGATCTTTTAGATGGTATCTTCATTTTCTTTTTGAATTTTAGATAGTTTTGAAAATGTAACCAAAATCAAAAAAACATATTCTCCAAATAGACCTTCTACTTTTCAAATTAATTAGACATATAATTAATCTCCAATATATTGTCCTAAAGTCTATTCTCCTCAAATGCAATAAAAATCAAAGTTTTAAATTTTACTAATTAAGTTCTTATGATTTAGATCTCAGACTCACTAAAGTTCCAGTTGAATAAAGTGCTCCAAATTCAGGATTAAAATCAAAATCTTATGTTTGCATAAATCAGTTTAATCCAGATGATGAAACCTCCTTAGAAGGAGATTTAGTATCAAATTTCAATACTATTTAAGATATCTAAATGTAAAGATTAAAATGGAGCTAGAAACATTCAAAAAGCCTTTGAAGTAGGCTCCTAAGCAATTAAAGAATAAATTTTTAATAAGCTAGAAAAAGGGCTTTTATCTCTTTCAAAAGATGTATTTGGGAATTATGTCATTTAAAATCTTCTTGAATTTGGTATTTTACAATATATCATCATTAGGAACTTCATTACAAAAATAAAAAATACTCATAATTCTATAAACTCACTCCTTATAATTAGCTTTTCATTAATATGGATGCAGAGTATTATAAAAATTACTCTAAAATACATATAACACTCCTGATTTTCCAATTTTATTTGATACTATCAAATTTAAAGTTAGAGATTTAGTTATTGATTAACATGGCAATCATGTTGTTTAGAAATTAATCTAATTAATGGAAAACAATATCAGCTTATGGGTTTTAGATGGAATTGAAGGATAAATCAATAAACTTGTCTAGAACTCATTTGGTTGTAGAATTATATAAAAAGCTGTTTCTATTTCTAACAATTATCCAGAAAGATAAAATTAGATTTTAATTGAAATAATGAACCTAGTTTATGAACTTTGTATTTCCCAATATGGCAACTACATAATTCAACAGTTGTTGAAGGATGGACCAATTCATATCTAAAATTAGATTTAATAAGTTATTATGGAAAAACTAGAAGAATATAGTCTAAATAAATTTGGAAGGTAAATTTTAAAATTAATCTTAGTAATGTAGTTGATTGTGCAATTTAATACTCTAATAATTAATTTAAACTTAAAATTATGGAACTTTTATTAAGTTAAAAAAATTAATAAGTTTTATTTGTTAGATTATCTACAAATGCTTATGGTAATTATGTTGTTTAAAATTTTCTTAAATTTGCAGATTCAGAAATATAAAAAGAACTTTATTTTAAAATTACTAATAATTAATAGCTCTTATAAGAAATTTAGTAATATAAATTTGGTAAATAATAAATAAACTTTAATTAGGCCAATTCGTTTATTAGATGTTGACTTAAAAATAAGAATTAGAAACCTTTAATTTATGATCTGCGTTAATGATTTGTTTATATTTATATTCTTTAATATTTTGTAAATTACTAAAACAACATTTTATAATTAAATATGTAAAAAACACAACCAGTTAACAGAGATTCATAAATTTTTGAGACTTTAAATTATAAAGATGGTATAATTTTAAATTCATTTCTAGATTCTATTTAAGTATAAGATCTTGATTTTTTTGGACCATGGCATAAATAAAACAACTCAATATAATAATAAATAGCATAAATAAGAAAAACGTATACTTCTTCCACTAATCAAATGCCAAATGAAATAATTGAACGACCAGAAACCTAAATTTCATAGATCAGAATGACAAGTACTTCTTTTCCAAATAAAAGAAGAAAAACCAGAAAAATATCAATTGATTAGCCTAGTTAATTTATTGAAAAACCAAAATATGATGAATCTCGTCAAGTCAAAAGAATTATTTAAGAGTTCTTTACAGATGAAAATAAAGAAAAGAAAAAAAAATAAAGAAATTATGGTTTTTTTTTACCTTAAGCTTCAAAATCTAATAGCAATACTAAATGTAGTGGCTCATCTTTTTAAACAACTTAAGAATATTTTGATGTAAATTTATTCATTAAGCTAAGAGAGAATAGCAATAAAAATGTTGAAATTGATGCCAAATTTACAGAAATAGCCTTCCAAGTCTTCTAAACCGTTTAAAAATTCAAATACTAAAGAAAAACTAATTCTTGAATTACCAATATAAACAAAAAGCTATTTTCCTCCTTAATTATTAATTAATTCTACAAAAACTTAATAGGTAAGTCCTTAAAATATGATTTCTTCTCAAAATAAAACATAAATCAAAAATTTTAATTTTCTTGCTAAAACAGGCAAAGGTCCTGTTTGGAAGATTAATAATTACATAAGCATATGATTAACCTATATGTTGAATACAAAATATAATAATTTAATATAATAATTTTTATTTAAAAAAATTAATTAATTATTTAACAATATTTATTTTATGTTTATTTCATACAATGATTACTCAGTAGGATCTGAAATTTTTATCAATTTTGATGCATGCATCTTCTAATAATTTTAATAAAGCCTCAGTTGTAGCTTCCCTTTCCCTTCTTTCAAAATTAATATCTTGCTATAATTTTCCATGAACATCTTCAATCATTCTAAAAATTTTCCCTTAAGTCTCTTCTCTAACTTTCTTTTCAATTAAGAGTTAATCTGAAAATTTATTAATTTCAGAGTCAATTTATTCAGATAAGGCTTCAGATGATTCTTCTCTATTATTATTAATTAAAAAATACCTTGATCTTCTTTCTTAATCCAATTAATTTTTTACTAATTAAACTTATTGCAAGACTTCTGCAATTTTAGCTTGACTTCTATCTTCATATTAATGTGTATTTCTTGAGATTGTTAGGGTTATTTATTAAAATCTTTCATCAATTTATTTTTATAGTTTAGTTTCAGCTTATCCTCTGCTATTTCTTTCTTAATCAAAAGATAATGCAACATTATCAGAGAGAGTTCTAAAATCTTTTTCTTTTTTATCATCAAAGGCCTTGGAGTAATAAATAAAATGATATACTTCTCTTTCTGATTTTTGATTGTGAGCTTAATCTTGAAGTTTCAATACTTAATCCTTTAAGACCTTAAATCTTTATTCATCCTTAGGTTTTTCTTAAGAGAGAACATCTTCAATAATTTTAATTCTTTCCTCAAGAACTTCTCTCTTTTCCAATTTATCTTTATCAATTCCATTTTGGATATGATTCCATTTATCAGATAACAACTTAATTCTTTGTCTAGATGGAGAATCAAGATCTTATTAAAGATAATTCACAGTAGACCTTTAAGGACTCTATAATTGGGACTTTCCTAACTTTGAAGTTGACAATTTAGATGTAGATAACAGCATCTTAGTTTTTGATTTTTAGAAATAAATTTATTTACGATTTAATCAAAATTTTAAAATAACTAGGCATAGCATGCAATAAATAGATTAAAGATTGAGTTAAGCATTTCCTCCAAATTCTTAAAATAATACACGTTATATTGCTGATATCCATAGTGTATTAGCTAATGTTAAGTTAGATGATATAGGATTTAAAGATATTAAATTTAGAACTGTTTAAACTAAAAGAGATATAACTTAGCTTAAATTATTGTAACAAGAATGGTTTCCAATTAATTATACTGAATAATTTTATACTGCTGTTTTGAATGGCCATACTTCATCTCTTCTAGCAGAGATTGAAATAAAATTTCCAACAGGAAGAAAGGAAAAATATATTATAGGAGCAATGGTTTACTAATCAAGATTGAGCAAAAATAAATATCAATAGAATTAAAGCTGGAAATAATGGTTTTGTTCATTCTTTTAAACATAACATGCTTTATACATTATGACTATTGGGGTCATAAATGAATTTAGAGGTAGGGGTATTGCAGAATACATGATTGAATAATTAAAAAAGAGAGTTTTTGAATCAAATAAAACACTTGCTTACATTTATTTAGATATGGTAGTTTATAATGAAGTGGCAGCTAGATTTTATTAAAAAAATGGTTTCAATAAAGTTAGAATAAAGAAAAATCACTATTAAATTGAAAATCAATCATTTGATGCTTATGTTTACGTATGGTAACCTAATTGAGTTGATTTAAAATTGTTTATAATAATATTAAATAATAATATAATATTAAAAATAATGAATCCTAAGCAGAAGATGCTAGAATTGGTTATAAGAGAATTATATAGTTGCAATTTAATATTTACATTTTTTAAATCTAATTTTATTGCTTAATACTTATTATTTATAATTAATTGTATATTTTTTATTTCTATGCTTTTGATGTAATTAAAATCGTATATTTTATAATTACCATGTAATTGCTTAAATGCAAATTAGAATTGTTAAAATCATAATTTTAGGGAATGCAGTAATGATGTCTATTCCCTATTAAAATTAGGAAATAACTAGATGTGTTATCTAAGCAAAACAAAATAAGTTTTTGGAATGAAAATTTTTAAACTATTTGATAACTGATTTATAGCATTATTTCATAAAGTATCAAGAGCGAAACTCATAGAAATGTTAAATTTCAAGTTCTTAAAGAAAGTGATAAATAAAAAAAAGAATCATTCATTTGTTCAATAATTTTGCTTGCACATTATGAATTGCAATTCTAAACTAAAAAAATAAACAAACTATTTTAATTTTTTCTTGTTTACACTTTTTTTATGAATAATGGTTACACTAAATATGCATCAGTATAACTAAATAGTAAACATTAATCTAAAATACGAAACTTTTAAATAAAGGAAGGTAATCGAAAAATAAGATATATAAATAATAATGTAGATAAAATACAAGGTTTTTTAAACGGAGTTAATTATTTATTTTTATTCTATATTTTGTTTATAATTTATTGCGCAATCAAGCTGATGCTTCAATCTCTCCAGAACCCTAAAGTTAGAAAAATAATAGAGGATGTTATAGGAGGTTGTGATTAGTAAACAGCTACTCTTCTTGATCTATCTTGTGTACATCTTTACACTTGTGAAGAAGGAAAACACAAATTTCATCATTGTAGAGTTCAAGGAATTTTAGCACTTCTAATTGATAGAAGGGAAGGAAAAGTATATAATATTTCATTGTAATAGGCATTCTATTTAAGAATATATGATCCAGCTTCCCTTGAAGTTAGATTCTCTGCTGAATTATACTTTGGATTTGTAGATAGTTGGGCTCCAGTCAGAGGATTCAATAATTTTTATGCTTTTTAAGTTAGCAAAGGTTTTGTAGGGATGCTTTTTGTAAATGAATAAGAAGCTTAGAGATTAACATAAAAAATTAAATAATATGCTCCATCAAAAAAAGATCTAGAGAAATTGAATTTAAAAATAAAAGAAGAAGAAAAATAATTAAAGGCTTATTTATAATAAGAGAAGGAGAAAGATTCATTTTCTCAATAATTTATGGCATTTTTTGGTAAAGAAAAAATTGAAAAAGTATAAATTAAAATTATCTATTAAGCCTATTAAAATTGGAACACCTTAGAATGTTTAAAGAAATGCTCTTTCTTTGAATGTGGAAACTGGAGAAATTGATATAGAAAAATTGCCACCTGTACTAATAGAGGTATTTTTGAATGCAGGGATTACAAAAAAGGATCTTTAAGATAAAGCAAAAGCAAAAGAGATATTTAAAACAATAGCTCGATTTAGTGAGAAAGTTTAATAAAATCCAGTATCTTATATTAATAAATTTAGACAAATCAATTAAATTAGTAAAATAAAAATTAAGCTAAACCTTAACAATAAGTTACAACTCAGCCTTCTTAAAAATAAAATCCAACTTAACCATAATAATAATAATAATAATAATAATAATAATAATAATAGTAATAAAAGCCTTAAAATTCAAATACAAATAAAGGTGCTCCTCCTCCTCCACCTCCTCCACCTCCACCACCTCCACCTCCTCCTCCACCACCTNTAATAATGTAGATAAAATACAAGGTTTTTTAAACGGAGTTAATTATTTATTTTTATTCTATATTTTGTTTATAATTTATTGCGCAATCAAGCTGATGCTTCAATCTCTCCAGAACCCTAAAGTTAGAAAAATAATAGAGGATGTTATAGGAGGTTGTGATTAGTAAACAGCTACTCTTCTTGATCTATCTTGTGTACATCTTTACACTTGTGAAGAAGGAAAACACAAATTTCATCATTGTAGAGTTCAAGGAATTTTAGCACTTCTAATTGATAGAAGGGAAGGAAAAGTATATAATATTTCATTGTAATAGGCATTCTATTTAAGAATATATGATCCAGCTTCCCTTGAAGTTAGATTCTCTGCTGAATTATACTTTGGATTTGTAGATAGTTGGGCTCCAGTCAGAGGATTCAATAATTTTTATGCTTTTTAAGTTAGCAAAGGTTTTGTAGGGATGCTTTTTGTAAATGAATAAGAAGCTTAGAGATTAACATAAAAAATTAAATAATATGCTCCATCAAAAAAAGATCTAGAGAAATTGAATTTAAAAATAAAAGAAGAAGAAAAATAATTAAAGGCTTATTTATAATAAGAGAAGGAGAAAGATTCATTTTCTCAATAATTTATGGCATTTTTTGGTAAAGAAAAAATTGAAAAAGTATAAATTAAAATTATCTATTAAGCCTATTAAAATTGGAACACCTTAGAATGTTTAAAGAAATGCTCTTTCTTTGAATGTGGAAACTGGAGAAATTGATATAGAAAAATTGCCACCTGTACTAATAGAGGTATTTTTGAATGCAGGGATTACAAAAAAGGATCTTTAAGATAAAGCAAAAGCAAAAGAGATATTTAAAACAATAGCTCGATTTAGTGAGAAAGTTTAATAAAATCCAGTATCTTATATTAATAAATTTAGACAAATCAATTAAATTAGTAAAATAAAAATTAAGCTAAACCTTAACAATAAGTTACAACTCAGCCTTCTTAAAAATAAAATCCAACTTAACCATAATAATAATAATAATAATAATAATAATAATAATAATAGTAATAAAAGCCTTAAAATTCAAATACAAATAAAGGTGCTCCTCCTCCTCCACCTCCTCCACCTCCACCACCTCCACCTCCTCCTCCACCACCTCCTCCCCCTCCTCCACCTCCTCCTCCACCACGTTAAGGAGGTGGTAAACCTGCAGCACCAAAACCTGTAGCACCAAAACCTCCATCAAATACATAAATGTAAAAACCTTAAAATCCATAAATCAATCCTGTTCAAAAACCTATATAACCAAGCCAAAATTCAAATCTGTAATAAAATTTAGTCACCAAATCTTAATAATAACCATAGCCTCCTTCTATTTTAAAGAGTTAAAATGATAAAAATAACCTTACAAAAGAAATTGAAAACTCAACAGGATATAAAGTTTAAGGTCACGATATTAAAATGGATATTGGCAATTTGAATGCTAAGGATAAAGAGGATTTATCTATTATGCTTGAGGCTAATGTAAAAAATAGAAAGGTTACCTATGTTAGAAGAAAAAGTAGTAGTGAAAGTGGTTGGAGTGATGATTGAATCAATTAAAACTAAAATTTAATTGTAAACATAAAATTTTATTTTTTTTATATCTCTAAATTAAACAAACAATTTAAAGTAATTAATCACATATTTTAATATAAATTAGTTATGTAATTTTCATATTAACCTTACTATATATTAAGCTTATTTGCAGTATCATATAAAGCTATTATTAAAGCTTATTAAACTTATTATTTTTATAGGAATTTCTTTTTTAAAAAAGCAGCTATTTTAAAAAACTAATTCTTCTTTTCAGCTTCTGTCTTATGAAACATTGTTGAAGATAATTACATCGATTCTTCCATTCTTGGAGTTAAGTTTCCAATTTTACTTTTTTCAACAAAACTTGTTTCTGTAATCGGGGAAAGGGACTATTTATTTGCAGATTTAAATCTAGATTAAAAATCTTCCTTTAAAGATTAATGAATATTATTTTAAACATTTTCAAAAGGATTTCGATATCTATTTAACTAATTATCATGAATTTGAATCTTTTTTTACAAACCTCCTTCATTAGCTAAAGATGTTGCAATTGATTCTTTAAGATGATTTATTATGTTATTTTAATTACTTTGCAAAATTCTAGATTTTCTTTCTGAAAATTGCATTATTTTACTAATAATTGTCAAAATTTGTTGAATCACTTATTCAACAGCAATGTCTTACTATTGATTTTCAAAATATTATTAAAATAAATCTAAATCATCCAAGCATTGTGAAACTATGTTGTAATCTGAAGCTAAAATTATATTGCTGCAGCATTTCCATAACATTTATAAATATTAAATTATATACTATTAATCAGATGAATAAGTTTTTAGCATCTTTTTGATTTTATTTATTAGAAAATTACATTTTTATAATTTTGCTTGTAAAGAATCTACTTATTCATATTAATCGTATTCTCCATTACAATTTTAAGTATGAATATTAATTTGTTCAGAAGGAACATAACTTTCACAACTCATACAAAAAACATCTTAAATTTGATTGAGTATTTCTTCAAAATTAAAATATTGCTCATTGGATTTATTTCCATATTTTCTTACTAAATATTAATGGGTTGTAGTTTTGTTTATTGTTTTTTCAAAGGATGAACCTGTATATACATTCATTCCGTTAATTAATTAATTGATAAATATTATTAAATAGTATTAAAGTCATGAAGATTCAAGTTTAAAATCCTGTAGTAGAATTAGATGGAGATGAGATGACTAGAGTAATTTTGATCTATAATATAGATAATCTGGTAATAAATAAAAAAATATCTGATCTTTCCATTTTTGGATTTGAAGATTGATTATTATGATCTTGGAATGGAAAACAGAGATAAAACAGATGATAAAGTTACTATCGATGCTGCTAATGCAATTAAAAAATATAAGGTTGGAATTAAATGCGCAACCATGTAAAATGCATAAAATTCATTTTGTAGCACTCCTGATGAAGCTAGAGTAAAAGAATTTAAGTTAAAATAAATGTGGAAATCTCCAAATGGTACAATCAGAAATATTCTTAATGGAACAGTATTTAGAGAACCTATTATCATCAAAAACATCCCTAGATTAGTACCAGGTTGGAAAGAACCAATTATTATTGGAAGACATGCTTTTGGAGATTAATATAGAGCCACAGATTTTTTGATAAGTGAGCCAGGAAAATTGGAGATGGTATTCACTAATAAGTAAGGAAAAGTCACAAAATACCCTGTGTTTGATTTTGAGGGAAATGGAATTTCAATGGGCATGTATAATACAGATGAATCAATAATTGATTTTGCTCATTCATGTTTCAAATATGCAATCGATCGTAATTATCCATTGTATTTATCAACTAAAAATACAATTTTAAAGAAATATGACGGGAGATTCAAAGATATCTTTTAGGAAATTTATGATAAATATTATAAATAAACTTTTGAATAAAAAAAATTATGGTATGAACATAGATTGATAGATGATATGGTTGCATATATGATAAAAAGTGAAGGTGGTTTTGTTTGGGCTTGTAAAAATTATGATGGAGATGTTTAATCTGATGTTGTTGCATAAGGATATGGTTCATTAGGTTTAATGACTAGTGTTTTAGTTAGTCCAGATGGATCAGTAGAAGCAGAAGCTGCTCATGGAACTGTCACTAGACATTATAGAATGCATCAATAAGGAAAAGAAACATCAACTAATTCTATTGCAAGTATTTATGCTTGGACTAGAGGTCTATTACATAGAGCCAAATTAGATAATAATAAAGAATTAAATAAATTTTGTATTACTTTAGAATAGAGTGTGATTTAAACTGTGGAAAATGGAATTATGACTAAGGATTTAGCCATTATTGTACATAATGATAATAAGTAATATTTGTTATTGATTTAGTGTTTCACGAACCAAATATGTGAATACTGAAGATTTCATAGTCAAGGTTGGAGAATAATTGAAAAAAAATTTAGGAATCAAAGCAAATTTATGAGAGTATATAAATAAATATATTATTAAAAATGGTCAGATTTAAAAATCGATACTTTTTATGTGAATATATTCAAGAGAATTAAGAAAGGGAATTTTCAGAAAGAGATCTTTTACTTGAAATTAGAGATTAAGTTTAATACCATTTTGGTGATTTTGGATCTGGAAAAATTTAATTTTCATTTTAAGGTTAATATTCACATTATTTACATAGTCAAATATTTGAATTCAGTTTCAAGATTATTTATTTTAAGAGTTGCTAGGGATTATAAAAATATTATATGGTCAACACTCTTGTTTATGACTATGTTTAGATAAATTCCTATAAAAATTAGAATTTTAGGATGCTCTGGTACAATTAAAAAATGTGAATTGAAGGCTAGAAAATTACTCACAAAATGGGTTCATAAAGTATTAAAATGTGACTTACCTAATTAATTGAGAACTGTTTTAATTAGAGATTATTAATAGACATAATAAATTCTACCTTAATTAACTTAATGAGTTTTCATTTAATGAAAAGTATATATACAAGAGTAATTGTTATGAATAGTTGTATATTAACTATATTTAATATTATAATAATAAGCAATCCTTTTATTATATATTTGATAAAATTGTTTAATTAGATATTATTACGCAATAATAGTATTTTATAAAATTTTAAGTTCAAGGGTAAATCATTTATGAAATCTATTCTAAAAATAACCAATTAATGAAAAAATCAATAGCATTTTGTGCTGCTTGGGCTTGTGGTTATATGATAAATGCATCATAACCATATATTAAAATGCTACAGAGATCAAATGATGAAGAAGAATTACATAGTTTTCAAGAATTTATTCAAGATTAAAACTACTCTCAACCAAAAATAATAGATTTTCTTCATAATTCTCCAGAGAGACACTTTCTTCATAATATGATAGTTCAAAATGAGAAAGCATTTAATTTTTTTAGAGTTTACCTTCCTAGAGATGTGGAAATAAGTAGCTGTGAGAATAATCATTAACTTCATGTTGTATTTAATGCAGCAGAAGAAGTAAGAGGGAATAATAATGATGTACATAGTGGATTGTTGGCAACATTAATAGATAATGCATTTGGATAATTGAGTTTTTTGGCAACTGGATTTATTCCTTCAGTGACTGCAAACTTGTAATTGAACTTTAAAGAAACAATTCATACAAATAAAGATTATTTAATAAGTTGTGAAGTTGAGAAGATTTAAGGAAGAAAGGTGTTTTTGAAAGCAGTAGTTTATGATAAAGATAAAAATATTTGTGGTGAAGCTACAGCATTATTTATTACAGTAAATTGGGGAGGAAAGTAATGGAAATAAGCAATAGAAACTCTTCAAAGCACAAAATTGTTTAATTAAGGAGTTCAAAGATTTCTATATTGATAAGTTAAATTTGTTTATTATTTATATAAAGTAGTATAAAAAATACCTATCATCTAATCATTTAAGGTAATAAGATAGTATTGGTTGGTTAAGCTTCTTCTTTTTTTGGGAATGCATTCCAGAATCTAAGAGTTTCATCTCCAGCACCAGTTACAATAGTTTCTCCATCTGGAGACATAGCTAAAAATAGAACTCTTGAAGTATGTCCCATAAGAGTGGTTACCTAAAATAAATATAGAAATGATTACTTTTTATAAGGAAGGATATTTCCAACAGACTATTTGATTCATACTATAACCATGAGTAGAAACAAATTCATTAACATTTTTACTGAACATAAGATTACATACTTAAGATCCAGTATCTATCCAATCTAATTATTAAGTAGTTAGAGTATTAAAGAATCTAATAGTTCTATCAGCAGTTCCACCACCTGATGATAATAATCCATGTCTATGAGGAGACCATGCAATTGCTTTAACAGCAGCTTAATGTTAACTGAATTTAGCTAATGGAATCTATGAACCAACTCTCCATACAAATAATTTATTATCATTTCCACCTGATGCTAGTTGATATTCATCTGGCGACCATTTCAAACCACAAACTTCTTATTTATGTCCTTCAAATTTGCCAGTCTATCTTTTCTATCTTGGATCATGAAGTATTATTGATCTATCTTTAGATCCAGAACAAAGAGTCTATTAAAATATATACATTATTTATACATGTCCACTCCATGCTAATGATCCTACTCTTGCTGAATGTCCTTCTATTATTTACATTCTCTTCATCTTCTCTTAATCATATATATGAATCTCTCCTGAACCAGTACCTATTGCCAATTAATTACCCATTGGACTCCATATTAATGAACAAACTACATCGTTATTACCAAAATCACAAAATTTAGTTACTCTATTATTATAAGCTGACCATAAATAAACACATGATGATAATGCTACTGATAAGACATTCTATGAACTCCAATCTATCAAATTTAAATAAAAATCATCTTATAATTAAGGAGCATCCAATACTTTAAATGGTACCTTACTTATCTTTCTATGACTGTATTAATAATCCATACTATTTTAGAATTATTCTCTATATTCAATCAAATTATTATAGGTCTCTAACACTGATGGATTTATATCTTATAAAATCTTTCTTTTCTAAGGAGTGTTATCATTGAATCTCATTATATTCTTAGATTCCCAATGCAACTATTCACTCTACAATCCTTATCCAAATACATGCATCTTATAAATATCTTTTAATGAAACAGTTCCTTAATCCTTATATTCACTTCCTTTCTTATCTTCTTAGTTTTCATCCTAAATCTCTCTATATTAGAATTCCTCTATTAAAGTCTATTTCTATCCACTCCTTAAAGGAATGTATCTACACGTCTTTCCTTGCTGAATTTATTTCTTTGGAGTACTATCTTATTCTATCTCCATTTATTCTATAAATCTATTAATTATTAATACCTTCTTATTAAGTATTTTGTATCTCTACTTTATTTAACAATTTTATAAGATCACTCATATCACAGGTCTTTGACTTTATGTGATGTGAATTTTCCTTATTTTATTTTGATGGGGATATTTATAATTTATCCTCAAAACATGATACTTCTACATCTAAATTACGTTATTGTAACATTTTCATTGTATTCGTTGACATTTTATGTATTAAAAAGGTATTAGCAAACAGATATTAAATTAATTTACGTTAAATTTTATTTTTAATCACACTTAAAAAGCCAAAATAAATATTATTGATAAGCAATCAAATTTACAATATTTTTTCACTTAATCATATTCGGCATAATAAATATTATTAAGAATAGCTTAACTTTAGAACAATCATAAATTATTTTAAAAAGAAATTATCAATCATTTTAACTTATATTTTCTGGATAACTAATTTGATTGTTAAGAGGCTGCTGGTTTTCCCCAATCTCTCAAATTACTTTTCACTATCTAAGTACTAATATCCAAAGGCACTCCTTAAAATCTCTTTGAACCTTATTAGGATGTTTGGTCTTCGTCTTATTTTATTTCTTACCTTTAATAATATATAAGATACTTGGTAATTATACTGATTTGTTTGCATTATCCACAATAGTAACATTCTCTGCCATAGTATTATTCATATTGACTTGATTCGTATCTGAGAAATTTAAATTCTTCTTCGTAAGATATTATTAAGCCTACATTAATAGTATACTCATTATTGCTGTTTTCTAATTTGATGTCCAATCATTCACACTCTTCTCTCGTCTAAAAAATTATAAAAAATATTATTTACAATTCTTATAAATCAATTACTTCCTTCAAATCTTCATTTGAATTATTTTTTAAGTATTCCAAATTACTTGCTAAAATTACTGATAAATTAGCAAACTTATTCTCCTCTAATCTAATAGTATCTAATCTTGTTAATAAATGATTATTTTCATTTCTCAATATATCATTATCATTTTATAATTTTGCTATTTTTTTTTCCAATTAGATTATCTCTGCTTCCTTCATCTTCTCTGCCTCTTGAGGAATCTCTTTTTATTAAGGATTTTATTCCTATTCTTCTAATTTTTATTATTCTTAATCTTCTAACTCTTTGATCTTTGCTGTTAATTTCTTTATAAGTTTTTAAGAAAAATGAGATCTCTTTGCTAATTCCTATTCAACCTATTTGTGTATCTCTATATCCCTCTTTAAACTTGTTACTTATTCTGATAACTTTGAATTCTTAAATAATAACTTTTCTGTTTGTTTAGATTGATATTCTAACTCTGTTGTCAATTAATGATTTTATAAAACTGTTAATCTAGTTGTTGTTTCTAGTTATTCTTTTTTCAATGCCAATAAAGATGACTTAGTTTCTTGAATTTTATGAAGCATCTCTTTCTTTAATTGATCTATATAAACACATTTATTATTTGATTACCTGTTTCCTTAACTTTCTCTTTCTCCTTATCTGCCAATTCTCTCTATTTATCCTTTCTTTCTTATGCTAATGTTTCTATCAATTTAGCTTTCTCATTTTCTAAATCTGCCTTTGTTTAAAGAAAACTATCTATCTTCTCTAATCTGGCTTCTAAATACTTTATTTTATCTAATAATGGTTATTTATCTGCCTCAAATAGTTGTCTCTATTTTTCCATCATTTTTTCTAGTTCAATAAATACTTAATCTTACTATAATCTTCATCAATATCAGCCATTTTCCTTTATAACACTCCATACTCAAACTCTATTTTTTATTTCTCTTCTCTCAACTCCTCCTTTTCCTTTTTATGAAATTCAATCAAATCTATCAATTCTTTCTTTTCATCAGATAACTTTCTCTTCACTTCAACATTCTCATTTCCAAATTTATCTCTCTCATTTTCCCTAAATTCCTATTTCAAGAAGTTACATTCTATCTAAACGATCTTTCATATTTTTATGAGTTGATATAGCTTTCATTAGGTCTCTTCTTTAAGCATCAAGTTCTTATGTTAAGCCATCTTAATTTTGATTTTATCCTTTATTTTACTTAGACATTATTGAAAATAATTTATTTATATAAAAAAAAAATTGTCATTAAAACTATCATTATCTAAACTATCTCATTACAATTAGATCAACTAAAACAATCATAATCAATTAAATTATGGAATTTTACATAGATTATTACTTTTCTTATCAAATTGAACAAACTTATATTATAATTTAGATATAATAATTATAATAAATCTTTTTGATAAAGTACTAATGTAAATTACATGCTTTTAATGTAGCAAATATGATTTCTATTAAATTAATAGTTAAATTTAGTAATATAACTCACAATATCAATTAAGAATCAATTTAAAAATATAATTATGGTGTGTTATAAAAGGAAAATTGTAATGAAAGGAATCAGTAATTATATTATTTTTAGCAAAATAAATATATGATAATTAAGTTTATAATGAATTTAATTTAGAAATAAAATTGAAGAAAAATAAATAAAAAATTATTGAATGATCAAAGCAACTCAAACACCAATTAATAAGGAGGAATAAAAAAAATTAAATCAAATTTTATAATAGCTTTTAGATTCAAATGATAGTTTAGAATTTCGATAACCTGTTGACTATAAAACTCTTGGATTGCATGATTATTTAATTGTAATAAAAAAACCTATGGACTTGGGTACTTGTTAGAAAAAGTTATAAAATTCAGAGTATAAGTGTGTAGAAGAATGCTTAGATGATATCTAATTAATATGGGATAACTGTAAATTGTATAATGGTCCTTCTAGTGTAAATATACATTCTATTTTAGTGGATAACAAAACTCTCTGAAAAACTTGAAAAATCCTTTAAAAAATATGTTAAAAATTATCTCCCTATAGTTAATTTGCCATAAAGCTAAATAAAAGTGAAAAAGATAACAGAAGAAGTTGTTTAGGAAGAGACTTAGCAAACTATATCACATAATGAAAAGGTAGAGTTTTCAAACAATTTAAAATAATTAAATCCTGATTAAATTGGTGCCTTAGTTTAGATTATTTAGACAAATAGTCCAAGTGCCTTTGTTGTAGTAAGCAAAGAGCGATTTTAGATTATCATAGATAACATTGATTTTGATACTTTTGTAAAATGTTAGAATTAAATTTAATCTTGGATGACAGGAGAAGAAATTAATAAGAAGGTTAAATTATGAATTATATAATTATTTAACATTAGTTTATTCTTTTATTTTAAGTTAGTACTTTTTATAAAGTTAAAGATTTCATAATCTATTTAAAATAACATTTTTTTTATCTAGTTTTGTTTATTTAAATAGGATATTTTTCTTTAAAAATAGAGTAAGAAATATATTAATTATCTAATATTAGCTTTAATATAAAATTATATGCATTCAAGAATTAAAAGTGAAGTTATGCTTGAAACTCATAATTAGGAATTAAAACAATCAAATAGTTAAAAATTAATGAAATCTGAGTTAGATACAACACAATTTGAATAAGTATAAATCTATAAAGGGATGATTTTGGAAGTCAAGCCAGATTAAACATTCTCACCTAATATATAGAGAAATTAATCAAGGTATCGTTAATCTTGGATCAATGAGAAGGATTAAGAATTTGAAGAGTATTCAATTTGGGAAGATTCTGAATAAATACCTGTTGGAAATAATAAAGAAAATAATCTGATATCATTTTTAGAGTTATATAAGTATAGATATGAAAGAACTACAAAAAAACCAGTTTCCAGTTATAATGTTATTTAAATGGCAAAGAAGTAATACTTATAAATAATAACTAGACTTATAAATAGACATATTCACTCAAAAATTAAATATTCTGGAATAAACAAATTAAAATGGATAGATTTTAGAGATTGGACTAAATGAATAAATCTTAACCTTGATGATTTTATATTTGTTTTAGATTTATTTATTAATATTATATTAAAAAATTAGAAAATTATGATATGATTTTGTTGTAACACTTGTATGAATTAGTTAATCAAGAGGATATAATCATAAATTATTAATTTCAGAATGTAACAAAGTAAAAAAAAATATTATTTGGAACTGATTCTAATAAAAGGGTAAAATGGAGAGCAGTTTTTCTTATAATATATTTACAAATTTTAAAGTTTTTTTTATTAAATGTAATTTAATAATAAGGTAAAACATAAATTATAGCAATCAAAGAAAGAAGTTTCTCAAACACCTCCAAAAGATGAATTAGGATTAAGTCAGTAAAAACCACCTTTGGTAGATTCAAGGTCTTAATGGAATACAAATGTTTACTTGGTTCCAAAATGGGAAAAGAAAGAAATTAAAAGAGTTGATTCTTAACTTCATACTCCATTTCCATTAAGAAATTATATTAATTATGTTTAGTAACATAATGGTGGATTTTAAGAGGAATTAAATCTGGATTTTTTTAAGCATATATTTAGACATTTTGCTATAAATTAATGGTGGATAGAGGAAGCACGTAAATTCAAATAAACAATTCCCATAAATATAATATAGAGTCCGGAAGAAGTTAGATAAAATCCCGAATATTGTAGATTGATGATGGAAAAGCAGAAGGATGATATAAAGTTTTATTAAGAAATACTAAGAAATGTGAAATGTCCAAATCCACCTTTTCCATCTAGATAAATTCCTGAATATCGAAAATCTATAACATATTAAGTATTAGATTTACATAGTGGATAAGAATATAAAGATAAATCATTGTTTCAGTTATAAGATGTTTTTGTTAACAGAATTATATAGTTGATTTCTGATTAGGGAATTTAAAGTTTAGGATACTATGATTATGTAACATTCAAGAATATAGTATAAGATAGAATAAAAGGAACTGGAGATGCTGAAAACTTTGTAAAAGTTTTAGAAATTAAAAGACTTTTTAATTCTGTTGATTAAATTTAAAAGGAGTTTGAAAAAACTGTAAATGAATGGTAAAGAGAATAAACATAAACATCTAATAATACTAAAACTAAATTTAGAAGATGGTAATAAGAAAAGACATTGTTTTCAGATGAGATTCTTTAATTAGCAACTAATGTAGGATTAGATTCAAATTTAGTAAGAGCAAGAAAGAATTATGAATTGAATTAAACAGAACAATAATTTAAAGAACTTATAAAGGTTGGAGATTAAATATAATTGAGTACTCATAAAACAATACTTGATACTCTATCTAAGATTGCATAAGAGGAATTTAATAATATATCTAGAACTAATTCAATTTTTCAAGAAGATGCTCTTTAGCTTGCTAGAGTTCAATATGAAGAATAGAAAGATTTAATAAAAAAGGAACATTCATCAGAAGATTGTTTCGCTTAATAATCTGTAGTTCCTAGTAGTAGGGAATGTAGTGATATATTTTAGAATATTGCAGGATAAAAATAATTTATGTAAAATAATGATTCAAAGAAACAATTGGAATTTTAAGATCAAGAATAGAAATCTAATAAAAATATTTCAGGTTAAATGTAGAAACCGTTTATGTAATATGCTAAATAACAATAATATTAGACTTAACCAAAATAGTCAAAACCAACAAATAGTACTTCACCATAAAGAAGAATACATTTGATCTCAGAGAATAATAGTAGATCTAATAATACTAGTAGTAATTAAAATAATACGCATCGAAATTTAATTTAATCTTAAGGATAGGAAAGAATGTTATAATCATAGTGGTCTTAATAATCTTTGCATTCTATTGAAGATATCATAAACTCTAATAATGATAATGATTATAAAGTATTTAATAAGACTAATAGAGAAAAAACAGAAAAAAATAGTATGCAATTTTATTAAAAACTTGATTATAAAGACTCAAAGTAATTTGAAAATGTTTATAAAGATAAAATTGATAAGAGACAATAAAATTCTAATACTATTAGTTAACATCAATATAATATTTAATAAAGTCTAAATACTGGCAATAACAATACTAGTGTTAGTTTGGTTAATAAGAATACTAATAATAATAGTATTAATGATGATATTTAGCTATTGAGTGAATTTGTACAACAAAATAGAATTTCATAATAAAAATTTAAAGATAAAGTTTTTAGTTAAGAAAAAGAAAAGGAAGAATTGAGATAACTCTAAGAGGAACTTGAAAATATTTCTAGAGATGATAATATGAGCAATTTTAGAAAAAACTCCTAAGAATCTTTAGATAAGGAAAAGAGCGAAGAAATTAAAAACTATAATACAAAATTAAATATAAAAGATGATAAAAAACATAAAGAAACAATTGAAAATTAAGTTAAATTAGATTATGGATATAATGTTTCTTCATCATTACCAGGATCATTATCAAATAATACAACTGCTAGAACTTCTAGAAATACTAGCAATTATACCTAAATATAAAATAAAAAATCAAAAGTAGATAGTATTGAAGAAGCTTTAGATGAATAAATAATATAGTAATAGTAGTAATAGTAATAGTAATAGTAGGTATTAAATGAAAATGAAAATGTTAAAAAAAATTCACCTAATAAATATTCAAGATAAACATCTACCTTAAATATATAAAAATCTAATGAGTAACGTTAAGATATAAAATAATAAACAAGAGATAGTAAACACTCAAGATAAGATAAATCATAAGGACGAGAAACAAATCTTCAAAATAATTAAATAAAAGATACTAATGATGAGACTAATAATTATTAAATTACCTAATAATCAAGTGATATGTCTCCATAAAAGTCTAAAAGAAGTACAAAAAGCCCAGAAAAAGCTAAACGATTCCAAAAGTCAGTTACTAAAATTATTGATTCAAATAAATAAGTAAAAAAAGATTAATAAAAACCAGATGTAATAAATAAACCATTTGAGAATCAATCCTAAATACAATAAGATGTTAGAAAAAGCAGACATAGAACAGGAAATAGAGAAAAAGTTGATGAATCTTCAGAGGAAGAATAAGAATAGGAAGAAGAAGATAAAAGAAATAGTAATAGATTTAAAAGATAGAAATCATTTAGAAAAGGATAATATCATTCAGTTTCGATGCCTAAAATAGGTAAGGATGATGATCCAAAAAGATATTTATTGATTTTAAAAGAAGAACTAAAGGAAATGATTGATAAAAGAGTGAGTTTAAGAGAAATAAAGGAGCATATTAATTTAATACTTAGTGAGATAGCTGGAATAAAACTTGACCCAGAATTGGAATACTATCTATAGTTATGTAATTATTTAGAAGAATATTTAAAGATAAATAAAGAGTTTTAGAATTGACTTAAGTAAATCATTAATCGAGAGAAATTCATTTTTCGACACTTCAACCAACAGTTGATTTTAATATAAAGAAAGAAATAAAAGGATTGAAATTTGCTAGAAATTGTGACAGAATTCCAAAATTATAACCAAAAGACTTAGAAGACACATTTGTATTATAATAGTAATTAAAATAAACATATAATTTGTTAGATTGATATAAAAAGAGACAGGTGTTTTAGATTAGGAATCTTAAATATAATCATATTAGCCAGTATTTAGATATGAACAAAGACCATAAGCAATAAAATCAGATATAGTATAGGTTTCATTAGATGTTTCAAGAAAGCAAACACCAAATACATAACGTTAAGAAAGGACTGGGTCATTGGTTGATGTTGATTTACCAATATTAAGTTAAAGAAAGAGCACATTGTAAAATAATAAAAAGAAGAAAAAGACTCGATATATTGGATAGACTTCTATAAAGAGAGATAAATTGAGTGAAGACTATCCTTTTCTTTATAAATACAAGCCAGAGTTATTGAAGAGTATATTGGAAGCCCGTATTAGTCTTGAGAAATTGGTTTGATTAATTAAGATTTTATTTATGATGCTTAAAATTAAGTATTCGTACATCTCAACTTAAGTGCTTCGATCATAAAATGTTGTAAGATTTGATGCTGAAATTAAATAATCACATTTGTTAGGAGAGTAGTTTGGATAATAAGTGTTTGCTAAATTGAATTAACATCATAAGCATAACATATTAAATCCAACGATGTTAGATCAAATATATAGATTTTTAGAAAGTTATGACTTAGATGAGACAATAAATATTATTTGGTTAGATTGTTAATCAAAAGGAACAGATTTGAAATGTATGTAATTTTAATAAGATTTAGATTTGTAACACTTGTCTTAAAAAGAAAAGATAGAATACATAAGATAGATATAAAATATGGCAGTCTTCTTTGGAAAATACAATAAAATATTAATGCCTTTAATAACAGGAGAAGCTAGTGGATCAATGGCAGCATTAGCATGTTCAACTCCATTTTAATTCTTTGATTAAAAAGGAGGAATAAGATTTAATGATGTTAATAGAGGTTTTGTACCTCATGCAGGGTAAATATATATTTAAATATTAGTGCTACATATCATTTATCAAGATTACCAGATTAATTAGGATTATTTTATGCATTGACTGGTAGATGGTTAAAGAATGAAGAAGCATTGAATACTGAGTTGATTTATGGAAATTTAAGAGATAAAAATAAAGCTATCGATTTTATTAATTAGACAATATAATAATATACAAAACATACTACTTTGAAAACATACCCAAAATAAGTTAAAAATTAACTTATCACTTTCAGATAGGGTTAAAAGTTATTCTTAAAGAAATTAAGTAAAGAAACAAGAGTTAGAATGATTAATGAAGATGCATAATTGGTAGCATAAGAAATGTTATATAAATTAAAGAGGTTTTAAGAAGAAAATCTTATAAAGTAAAATGAAAGACGAAAATAAACAATTGCAAATCCATATTTTTAATTTAAAGCATTGAATATTGAAAATTTAGAGGAAATGGGAATAATATCAAGAGAAAATTTAGTGAAATTAGATAAAGCTTTGATTGCTAGATGTTTTAGTGGAGATAGTGTTTAAGAAATTATGGAAAGATTGGAATCAGAACAAAATGAATTTGCATTAGAAATTTTAAAGGAATTAGAAGCTTAACCAAGATTATCTCTTGAACTTACTTTTAAATTAATGAGATAAGCCTAGAAATAATAATGGAGAGATTGTCTTTTGACTGAATTCAATGTAGCTTCAAATCTGGCTAATAGTGGATTAATGGAAAAATAAGAAAAAGTTTAAAATATTGATTCCTTTTTCAATTAAGTATCTCCTTCAATTGATTATTTACCTAATGCACTTGAACCTGTTAAAGATTTTTATGTTGAATATCCAGAAAATATTAGACTATTTTTGAATGAACAAAATCTTAGAAAGGGATTAATTGATAGAGCTAATTAAGAAATTGATGTAGCTTCTTTTATGAAAAATAATGAACATATGTTAGATGGATCTATTAGAGTTTCAGATTTAAGAAAAATGAGAGCAGAAATTGCTGATTTAAAAAGAGATCTTAAAATTAAAATGGATAATTTGAAAAGCATAGTTGGATATGAAGAAAATCTTAAAAAATATTTAGAAGAAAGATAAACATATTTAAATAATATTAAAGATTTTGGAACTCTTTTAGATGACTCTATGAAAATCTTTTTTGAAAAAGCAAATTAAGCAAGATTTAATGGTTATGCTAATGTTGCCAGAATTGCATCTGTTAAACCTAAAAGAGAATTATTTTCATTAGTAAGAAACTCTATTTTAAATCATAAATTAACAGAAGAATTTGATGAAATAGAAACTATTAAAAAATAGTAAACATGGAATAGATCTATGTAAAGATTACTCATTTTCCCAAAAGATGATAGAAAATCTTTTTATGAAAATGAATTACCAGAAAAAGTATCATAAATAATTGATAGAGAAAATAATGAATAAGTCATTCGAGCTAAAGTTATAAGATCAAAATTATATGAAACTAGATATGGAGATCTTTATTAAGAGTTTAGTTAGTAAATCGATAAGTTTTATAAAAATGTTATTTAAAATGTTACATAATAAAATTAATTTAGTAATATATAAGAATATTTGGAAGGAAAGGAAGTCAAAGAAATTTTAGATCAATTAAAATAAAATAAAAATGAAATTAATATTAATTTATAAAAAGAGCCTGTAAAATAGGCTAATAAAGAAGAACTTTTAAATCAACTCAAACAGGAAATAGAATAACTTAAATAAAAGGAAGAGATACCAACTAATCTAGAAGGTTTGATTTCACATGATGAAAATTTAAAGAGAATTATGGCAGATTTCTTTAGATGTCCTGAAGAATTTAGAACTTTATAAAACATATTCGAATAAATATTGATTTAAATTTATAGAATGAGAGCTAAAAAATTCAAACATTTAAATGAATTAGCAGTTATAGATGATGAAATAAATGAAGCTTTGACTTTTGATTCTTTTAAAGTTATTGAAAGTAATCTAATGTTTTCGTTTTCTTATATTATATTATGTAAGTTAGAAGAAATATATTGCTTGTTCAAGTAAGGTGGCACTTATGATGTTTAATCATTAAAATTTTAATAAGAGTATGGATTTTAATTATAAAACTTTAAATAATTTGAAAGACTATTGGATTATTTAAATGATAAATTGAGAGCAGCAGCAACATTATACAATACATATCGATAATAGACTCTTGTTGAATCAGATAAATTACTAGATTACATTCTAACACTTTAGTCAACTAGATGGCCAAGTTTTAAATCAAAAGCAATATACACAAATCGTTTAAGTTTATTAATTAAAAAAAACTATGAAAATTAACTAGCTGGATTAGATGAAAAACCAATCAGTTAAACTACTCCTGATGATGTTTATGGGGCTTTAGAAAGTAAATCAAATAAAATGAGCACATATTACAGAGAAAATATTCCCAAATTTAGGAGAGGTTAAGTTATGAGAAGAGTTTATTTTAGAGATGATTTACTTTTAGCAACTAAAAAAGAAATTGAGATTTATGGTAAAATATAAAGATTAAAAGCGCAGAAATAAAAGAAATTAATTATAGGTCTTAATCATCAACTTAAATAATTGGATTTAATTGCAGAAAGGTAAGTTGATATTACACCTAAAGAATTATAGTAATAAAAAGAAGATTTGGAAAAAGTATTAAAAAAGAAATGGATTAGCTATCAACCCATTGAATAATGGTTTTAAGAATTAGTCTAAGAAACTTTAAATGACATCTATAATCCAGATCTTTTATTATCAGAAAGTGAATTTAAAGAATACTTATAAATGAGTTTTAATGCATAAAAAAAATTATTAGAATCTTTAAGAGCAGAACTTATTTTAGGAGTTTAAAATGAGAGAGATGATGTAATTCAAGAATTAAAGTAATTATTATAATAATAAATAAATAGATTCAACCCAGAATTACCAGAAATTTAAAATCTAGCATAGTAGCTGACAGTTGCAGAATCCTTCCATGTATAAGGTCTTGTTGAAGAAGTTGAACCTATTGAAACTTTATTTGTTGGTAAAAAAGGAACAATAATGAAATTTGGAGGAAAACTTCCAACTCCATTAAATGAGACATAATATAGAGAATTAAGAACTAAAATGATTGGAAGAGTTGAATATTTGGTTGGAGATTGGGCTTAACAACCAAAACTCATTGATGAAAAAGATATTGAATTGTTGTATGATAAAATTCAATAGATTTAAGAAAAGAATAGAAATAAAAAATGATGATTAATTTTATACATTATATGAGAGTATTGCAAAATAATTTATTTTTATAAGACTGTCTGATTTAATTAATTACATATTTTTTTTATAAATCATTAATCCTATATCAAAGGGTCATGGATATTAGAATGCTAGATTGATTAATGTATTGATCTTTCAGAATTTATAATTCTATTTAAGTTGGATTCACAGTTAGAATACGCTGCTTCTACTTGTAAAATATCCATAAGTTAAGCTAAATTATTTTATTAATTTATAACCTTGTAAAGAGAGAGCATTTTTTAAATCTTCTGTATTTTAGCAATACAGTAGCTGATCTCCTAATTCTTCAATAAATACAATCAAAACAATGAGATAAGCATTTTTATTTGTAGATATCTTTCTAATGATTAAACTCCAAATATTATATAAAGGCAAGGATTAAACTATATTAGTATAAAAACTAATTAATATATCATAAATGATATCTTCAATTGCAATATCATAATTTTTAAAATGTTTGATCAAATCATTATGTTGGTAATCTAAAAATTAAATTACAATATTTTAAGGAGAAAATAAGACATCTGTTTTGGTTAATGGAAAATTAATATTTCTCATTAACTCTAAGAATGAAACAAAAAGCCAAAAAGCTTAAGCTTCAGATTAGAATTAATTTCCAAAAACAGGATTTGATAATTTATAAAAAAAGTGGCTAAAAGTGATACAAATGAATTTATTAGCTATTGTAAATAAAGTATTAAGTATTGAAACATTTAATTATATTCCTCTAACATTACAATAAATTAAAAATGTTGTTAACATGCTTTAACATTATTTATGTTAATTTGCTTAAATAATAGGTAATTTGTTCATAAATTCAATAAGATCTTTCTCTAAAGGTAAATTTAAATTAGGAATTAATTTTAATTATTGATAAATCTTTACGTTTTCACCAGGATCAACAAATCCTTAGAAATGTAACTGAAGTATTTCAATAATAGGTTTGACAACTTTATCCATTCCATTCAAAGATTGAAACCAAGTAGAAGGAAAACATTGTGGCTATAAACAAATATTTTCTATATAAAATCCTTAATATAGATTTTGAATTTCATCACCAAATCTCTCCACTTCTAGACTAGATCTCACAGTTTCAACAATTGGATTCTATATATATATAAGATATCAATTAATTACTGGAGTTCTTTATTCAATGAAATTTACAGCTATTTTTCTGAGTATACTATTTAATTATATAAACTTCAATCTATCTAGGAAAATAGGATCTATGTTTGAATGTTCAAGTATATCCATTTCTACAAATATTTTAGAGGGTCCAAATTCTAATTATACCCAAAATGATCGACCTTCATAAATAAATTAAACCAAATCCTATAGTTATATTCTTAAAACTTATGAAGCTGTATTAGTTTCTTGTATTATAATTATTTATATATACTGATTGTCTCTATAACTTGAAGGTCCAGAAAATCTTTAAATCCTAAATTCTCAACAATTATTGATTTATTTCCACATAATCCAAGTAAACCATCTTTAAAAGTCCAAGTCGTATAGTCTTTTCTTCTTTATTAACTCATCTAAGCTAGTAAACGAGTTGTGTAATAAGGATTTTAATTAATATTATATTGTAATCCATCTAACACTTTTTAATTTTCAATATCTTTTGTATTCTCTGTCCTCTATAATAATTTGTTATAAAGATACTTCAGATATAAATCTTACTTCTAATTAAGGTCTTATCAACTTTGTATTACTCTAAATGTACATACTAATAAATTTGATAGAAAACTTCTTTGGATTATTCTTATGAATATGAATTGCTCTATCCTACCAATATTTATAAAATCGTTTAATTTCTTAATTCTTAGGTTTAACATAAGTGATCATTTATTCTAATAATTCTAATCTTCTCCTTTCTTTTGCTTATCTTTCTAAATCTTTTTATTTTTCAGTGGCTTTCAATGATTCTTATTCTTTTAATGATAATTACTTTAATTTCTCTTAATAATCTAATTCATCTTTATATTATTTCTCACTCTTTGCTTACCATTTTTTTATATGAAAATTGATCACTTATCTATCTAGAGAAATTAAAAAGTTTTCATCTAATTTAGCTTTTTGCTTTTTCTTTTGATTCATTAATGCTGCATAATTTCCCAAAAGTTCAGAAAATGATAATGCCCAAGTATATGTAAATTTATCTTCGTATTCTTAATAACAATATTCAAAACATCTTGCTACTAATTTTGGTTTTATTTACAATAATTTTTCAATTATCAAATATCTTTACCATTTAATTGCCTAGTTTTTATCTTTTCTATATATATAGACACTAGAATGTCCTTTTTCGAATTCTATTAATAACCTTGCCATATCACCATTTTTGTTAAACCAAATCTTTTAATCAGCAGCTTTGGTTTCAACATATACTCTTTAATAAAGAGGAAATGTTTTTACAGGCTTATGATCTTTAAGTTGTTAAAGTAAATGCTTCTCAAATTTTACTTATCTATCCAAATAACCACCTGTAACACTACTCTTCTTTTACATTACCATTTCTTCTTTCTTTTAATCAATACTCAAACAAAGACTCATGATCATTTCATCCGTAATCAGTTCCTTATTTGCTATATTCTATTATTCTTCTTTGAATTATTATCTAAAAGATTTAATAAGAAGACTTTGATAATCATGCTTAGCATAAGTCAACCAACCAAAATCAATTTTCCTTCCTTCACAAATTTATTAATTTTGCATATGAATTTATATAAATATTATTTTATCAAAATCAAAATGTAACTAGTTTTAACATATGATAACTTATTTTATTTGTTTTAGTGAAGTTACTATTATTTATTAACCGGAAAAAATATTCTGAAGTAATATTAATTTAAATCTTAATATCACTTAATAAATTTAGTTAAGCAAAACTTTGTATTTATTTTCATTAAATCTATTCATTTTATTATAAAACAGTTTAAGATTAACCTCTCTTTCTGTTATAATTATAATTAATTGCAGGTTTATTCTAAATTATGTAAATTTTAATTGTTCATTTTAAAAAATGTATTAGAACGAATACTTTTTTTACTTAAGAATTAACATGGAAATTATCTGATTAAGTTATAAAATTAAATCTAAATTAAATCATTAAAAAAGCTTTCTCAAAGATTTAATCAATTATTTTTTTATTTTAAAAAATATATCATGGCTATATTAAAGAGTCCAAACATTCTTCTAATTTAAATTAACAATAAAAAATACTTTTTCGTTCTTATACCCATAAATTCTTTTAGTTGATACTTAATACCTTATCAAAATAGATTAATGCTTCTTCATATCGATTCTGATCTTGTAAAATAACACCTTAAAATTAATTATATCACTAACCCTTTGTTTCTAATGAACCAATATGATTTGGATTAATTTTTAGTGAATAATCAATTATTTCTGATGCTTCTTTTAGCATTTTCAATAATCTTAATGCGTTACCTTTGAATTAATAAATTTTTTACCCTTACAGGCTAATGAAGGACAATCTTTTGGATTTATTTTTAATGCCTTGTCTGCCCAAATAATTGCTTCTTCATATTAACAAAGTCTTCTAAAACAGGCAGCTATAGTATAAAATTAGCTTTTACATTTTAAATATAATGAATTTTGATGTTGAGAATTTATTTCTAATGCTTTATCTGCATAAATAAGTGCCTCATTATATTTACTTAGCATCCTTAAGTTCTCACCTAAAATTTTAAATAATCATTCTACCTTTACACCACAATGCTTGGTAATTTTTGGGATTAAAACTTATGGCTTAATCAAATATCTTTATTGCTTCTTGATAATTGCTTTCATTTAAATATAAATTATAGCCTAATTACTAATATAAAATACCTTATTAATATAATTCTTTAGATTTTATTATATCATTTTTGGATTATTGATAATAATTCAATTGATTTAAGTTTAAATCTGAATTTAATTTTATTAATTGATCTTTAAAAACTTAAGATGAATTTAAAAATTGTTTTAGAAACACTTAGTTAAATTATTCGAATTAAAGACTTTCAAAAAATATAGAATTCATTTATTTAGGGTTAAGTTTAAGAAATTCACTTCTTGTAATTTGATATTTAATTCTAATATTTCTAATTAATTAATAAAAAGATTGATAAACTAAATCCATTTGAATATTTAATTAATCAATTAATTGATCAGTTTTTCTTTAGATTTACTCTATGTGATCAAATAAAATTGGTAATTCATACTAATGTTAGGGATGAGAAACATGAGTCCCATTTCTATTACATTACATACAATATAATCTATCAGCCTTACAAAATTCATCAAAACATACTAATTTTACGTTATTAATATGTTCTGTATTAGCGCATTTTATTATTACTTAACTCATAATATTAAAATATTTAATAATATTAATATTTTAATAATTATATTGATATAATCTAATATATTTTTAATTTAACAAATTTCCAGGAATAAATTTAAGATTATAAGCTTAGAATATTTTTTGAATAATTGAATAAAACAATATAGAAGACTAAATTCAGATCAGTAATTTAATTGAATTATATGTATTTAGTGAGTTTATATTCAAATAAAAGGTTAGAATTTAATTAAAAAATACAATTAATAGTAGAATGATAAAGATTATACATATATTAAATTTCTTCAGATAATTAAATATAAATTAGAATGTCAAATATAGTTAAATGCAAATTAAGGATATAGAAGTATTAAATTAAGGGATTTCGAATTCCCTCAATTATTAAACCAATTGATAAAGAGCCTTATATTCTGGTTTTTAAATAAAAAAATGCCTTAAATAAAAATTATTAACAAGCGAGACATGTTGTTAGATAGTTAATGAAACTGGAAGAAATTTAGATCTAGTTATTATTAAAAGCTTTCTATGGTAAATTAGCTTATATTTTAATAAAATAAGCATTTAATAAAAAAGTCTCCACTAGATTATGTTCCAGTTACTGAATAATAAAAAGTTATAGATAATTATTAATTCTTAAAAAAGTTAACATATAAATAATTTTAAGAACTCTTTGCCAAAAAATTTTGTATAACTTGATTTGATATATCAATGAATCTAGTAATATATGTTATTTTTAAGATCTTAAAAAAACAAGAAGATTTTAATTATATTATTATTAAAACAGATTCACTTAACGTCTAATTATTTAAATCAAACTCTAATGAATAATTGAGAACAGATTATAAAATAAAATAAATAAATTAGAATTTATATAGATCATAATTTTGATAAATAAAAAGAAAGTAACGATGACATTATGAATGAGTAATAAATATTTAAAATTTATAGATTCATCAATTAAGAATTCAATTTAAATTAAAATAAAATATTCAAATATTTAATGATTATTTTTAAAATTTGAAATTTTAATTTCAAAAATCTATCTAATATTGTTTAACCAAAAATTCTAATATCTCATCATCCATCTCATTAGTTTATTTTATTTAATCTAAGCATTTCTTGATATATGATTTAAATTCAGGTAAAAGAGTAATTGTCTTTAAAGTCATCTCATTTATATGCAAAAGAATTTCAAGAAATGAGCACATTAATTCAAAATCATACTGTTTTTTCATTATTTTAAGAAAATCTTCCTAAATTTGTTGAACTTTTTTATTTTCTGGATCATGTAGTTGTAAATATTTTAAAATCTCAATTTTTAATTATTTATCTTGATCTTCCTCTAATTTAAGTTATGAAATTTAAGAAAATATAACAGGATTTTATTAATATTTATAATTGAGAGCAGATAAAATTCCAACAGCATTCGTTTTATCAATATTTTTTACTCTCATTCCAATACCTACTAAATATTTTTCCAATATATTTATATCAATTCTATGGAAACGTTACAATACCCCAAGTATAATTGATATATGTTCTAATGATAGATCCTTAGGGACTACTTTTGTTTAGAGTTTTGTCACAAATTTATCATTTAAATCACACTCAACTGAAGCAAGGATCTAAAAAACATCTGCATAATTATCAGGTTTTATAGAATTTAGGTTCTCATATAAATGTCTAATTTAAATTATTTAATTACTAGATCATCCTATTAGTTAATAATGAATTAAGCTTGCCATTTTTTATGATAACAGAGAGTAAGGCTATAACATCAAAGATTGGCATTTCATTAAAATTTTTAGAGTTAAGTTCATTCAATAAAATATCCCATTTTGCCGATTGCAATATGTCCTTATTTTTTGAGACTAAGTCAATATATCCATATAAACCAAACGAATTCAAGGATGATAAATTTTCTGAGATATAATTTTATGATGCTGTATAAACAGAAAATAATAAATTTTGAAATCTTTTGTCAAAATTTTATAACTAAAAATTTTATTGAAATTTACATTTATTTGCTTTAAAATTGAATAATACTTTAACAACATGAATCTACTCATTATATTAGTAAATTTGGGTAAATTTACATCTATAGCTTCAATTAAATCAATAAACCTTTCCATAATTTTTTATTATTATATTTTGCTTACTTCATCTTTTTCTTAATGTTTTTTTTTCATTTATAATTGATGCATTTCTATAAATATTCTCCAAAGACTTTCTTCTACTGTTTATGGTACTTATTGAAATAATTCAGCTTAAAATTTATCAATCACTTATTAACTTTGAAAACTAGCCTAATAGAAGGCCATATACCAATAAATAGTTAAGAAGAATATACTTTTTTAAACATATGTAGCATTTAAGCTTATTTAATTTACAACATTTTCAAATATTAATTTATCATAGCTTTTTCTAGTATTAGCACTCTCTACATAACAACTAAGAGCTTGAATAAAATAATTGAACTCATTTTAATCTAGTTCTTTAAAATCTCTTCCAATTAAATTTATAAATTAAGGAAATAAAGTCTGATTAAATTATTAAGAATTGAATTGAGTCTTTATTATTTCATTATATCCAACAGATTGATGAATTCCCTTATAAGAAACAGGGGTCTTGAGGCAAAGATCGATATATTTGGTCAACTTTTATGAGTCCTTTACAAGAATAGATTTCCCTTAACAAAATGCCCTAAAAAATTTCATTAAATTAAATTAAAGTTAAAAAAAATAATCAGATAAACTATGACCTTTCAAATATTCATCACTACCTAATGGCTAAATAATTTGTTTAAATATATTATTAATATTAAACAGGACAATATTTAGATAAATATATTAAGTTAAGGTTGGCATTCAATTATAATTCATTTCTTGCATTTTTAAGTTTTACTTAATTTTTGTAGTAATAAATCCAAATAAATATCCAATGTTGCATTAACTGAATTACCAACTAATAACTTTTAAATAAAACATTTAATAAAAGGAAAGCATTTTGAGTTATTAGTCTACAATTTTCTTAAACAAATCTAATAGTAATTATATGTTATATTAAAAATGAGTATTCATATATAGTGATTAGTAAATCATTATCATTTGAAGATGAAAAACATTTCCTAAACAGATTTATAATTCTCTCAACTATAAGATAGCTTTTAATATTTAAAAAATAGATATCTAAGATCTCTAATACCTTTTATAATATAGATATGATTATTTGTGAGAATTAAAATCATATAGATAATATTCTACACAATATTCTTTACATCAACCATTTTTCCCATTTTAGGTAACTTTATCAACAGCTCTTTGTCAAGATTTTTGTATACATAAATTTTTCAATATTATAATTCATAGAATATTTTAAGGTTAATAAAATAGAATTTTAGAGGGAATTTATAGAGTCATCACTCCAAAAAAAAATAAATAAATACTATAATTAATAAATTCTTAAAAGAATCATATTTCTTCTCCAAATATACATTAGAGGCTATCTTCATGCGATTTCCTTTGAGTTTTAAGAAATATGCAATATCTAATTTTTCTTTTTCATAATTCCACTTTTTTTATCGTTTCATTGATACATTAAATAATAATTTAGCCTCTTTAGAAACTGTATTAAGAACAGCTACATAATTTATTTATCTACTTATCCACTCAATTTTAGAATCTGATCAGTAAGTATTTCTGCAGATCCATTTTCACTTGATGATTCTCCTTTGATATATCATATACTATAAATTTTAAGACTATCAATGATTATTAATTTCAAATGAGACGAGATTCTACTGAGCAAGAATTTGATAATTTGAAATGGCTTATTTTTGATTTCATTCTTTTTTTTCTTTATTGAGACTAGAATCCAAAATAATGAGTTACTAAAACATCATTATTTTCATCAAATAGAAGAATTTAATCTGTCATATGTTATCCAATTATTATTTATTGATGTATTGATAATCAAATCAATTTCTGCTGGCAATAAATTGAGCAGTGGTGGATAACTTTTCACTAATATGCTCTTAAAGTCTGTCAACAATTTCTTATTAGGCAGTTCTAGAATATATATTTATATGATTTACCTTTCAGCAGTTTAGGTTTCATAAATTTCTGATTATACTACATACCAAGCTTATTATCCAGCAAGTCTCTCTTCACTGTTTTCTAATTCAAGAGTATGGAATTCGATCCATGATTATGCATCTTCAATTGTGTCTTTTTATTCTTAAATTTAGACTTCCAATTAAGCTTTTCTTTCAACCAATCTAGTGTGTTCATTAGACAAATGAACTGAGAATTCAGCCCAGTGAGCAGCTTATCTTTCTTCAACGTCCTTAATAATTAGAATGATTTTATACAGTCTTGGCAGCCTTTTCTTAGACTAATTATTATCTAATTTCACTTAAGAGTTAAGCAATCTTTGTCAATGCCTTTTAATTAACTCCATGGGTTGCTAATTCAGTAAGAGCAGTGATGACTGGCTATTTAAAGTAGTTTTATCAATCATACTTATAATAAAGCAGTGTGGGATGTATTATCAGAAAGTTTCTTGTGAAGTGTGTCATATTTGCTCTTCAATTAAGCAAATGATGCTCCAAGGCTTAAGTGTTGGATCAATTTAGCGGCTTCATCAATAGCATCAATCACATCATCAATAGCAGCAACTTTAGAGACGAAGGTTTCGTGTTATTAGTTTCTTGTGGCTTCTTCTCTAGCATAAGTGGCTTCATTGTTAGCAATATCTTAAATGGTGACTCTAATGTCTTCTTCAGATACAGCAAGTGCTTCGATTGTGTCATCTCTCAATTAAGTATTTGAGGTAATTTAGTTTTAGTGATACAAAATTTCCTTTTCCAAATCCTCAACGATCTAAAGATTAATAAAATAGAATCAACTCTGTTGTTTGTTGTGGTGTCAAGTTCAAAAGCATGATCATGGTCATTTTAGTCTTAAACAAGTCCAGCACCAACACCATTTAATAACATATTAACTTCATTGGCTGGTGTTGAGGCTTAAAGATGAGCCTTGATGGCACTCAATACAACATGGCCGAATGGGTCAGAGTTGATTTAAGCTAATGTTGTGTGGGTGTCGACGAACTTGGCAGCGGTCACAGCAAGAACCAAAGCTAAGAGAGCTATTTTTTACATTTTTAATATTAATTTAAAAACGGATCGAGCTCTTTATTTATACTCATTTTACACAATATTATTATATAATTAATAATTTCTACAGATGTCCTTCATCTGTCTCAAACCAACTCTTCTTTGCTCATACTAGTTACATTATGCCCTCTGTTATATGTAGAGTCTCTTTTTTTAATATAATATTTTGAATTTAATAATTCTACATAATTAACTTATGTTGAACATGCTCAATAAAAAGTATAATTATATTAATATAATATTCAAGCTTGCTTAATTCTTTATTATGGTGAACTAAACTCATTATATCCATGATCTCTTCTTTGAGCTTAAGGTGATAAAGGTCGTCTTGGTTCAAAATCCCTTCCACCAGGTCCACCTCTATATACTTAATCATCACCTCTTTGATATTAAGGAAGATAATCTCCTCTATAAAATTCATTAGAAGGTGCTCCTCTTTAAGGATATCCAGGACCTCTTCTCAACTCACCTGGAGGTGGTAATCCTCTCATCTCTTAAGGTGGTAGTCCTCTTGGATCCATACCTCTACCATATTCTGGTGGAGGCCCTCTATAATTAGCAGGAGGCATTCTATATTCAGAAGGTGGTGGAGGCACACCTCTATAATCAGGAGGAGGAGGTTTCCTAAAATCTTGAGGAGGTAAACCTCTATATTCTGGAGGAGGTCCACCTCTATACTCAGGTGGTGGTCCACCTCTATAATCAGGAGGAGATCCACCTCTATAATCAGGTGGTGGTCCACCTCTGAAATCTGGACCTCTTTATGCAACATCTCTGCTATAATCGCCACGATATCCCATTGGTTCTGGCATTCCTCTTCTATATTCAGGTCCTTAATAATTAGGAGGCATCATTCTTCTATATTCTGGAGGAGGAATTCCTCTAAATTCAGGAGGAACATCTCGAAAATCAGGTGGAGGCAAACCTCTATATTCAGGTGGAGGCCCTCTAAAATCTTGAGGTGGTCCTCCTCTTCTTGGATCATATGCTCTTGCTGGTCCTCTTAAACCTTAAGGAGATGGTTCCCCATACGGTTACTATCTTGCACCATAAGGACTACCATATGGAGCAGATATTGGTCTATAATATCGATCATCAGGATAGACTGGTTCATATGGAGCATTATTGTATCTATCAGGTGGAGGAGGAAATTAAGGATTGAAACCTGGTGGAGGTCGTTCAAATCCTCTGGCCATATTGCCATAAGGAGGATGGGGTCGATCTTACGGATGATCCATCGGTCTTTGAGGTATTGGATATCTTTCTGGACCTTGTTCTTAATACATAGGTTTCTATTGAGGAGGGGGACGTTCTTAAGGATTGCCTTAATAATCATCAACTCTTCGAGGATCTTCAGGTAATTTTTGAAGATATTAAGGATTCTAACCTGGAGGCTTTTAATGACGAGTTGGAAATTTATCATTCTCAGCCGGCCTAGATGGAGTGTAATACATTATTATTTTGAATTATATATTGCAATCAGTTAGTATTTAATTCTCAATAATATTTTATAATTTTTTATTAAAATCATGTAATAATTTGATACACAAACATTTATCCAAGAAAAACTTTAGTACTAATATAGAATAAAACCATTATTGTATTCTAAATATATTTATTAATCTACCTCTTATGGAAAAAAATACCAAATACTATTTGAAATTACAGCACCTAAACCCATTATAGCCAACATAAAATAAAATATCCCTTAGCTTGCCATAGATCCAAAAATTTTAGGAATCTAACTACTAATTATAGAAAACAAAATGGCTAAACTAACAATTTATATGGAACAAATAATGTTAATAAAAAAAGGATTTTCAAACCAAATTAAAGCTTCTAATGTCAGAATTAAAATCATCTAAATAATTAATATTTTATTTATACATTTGCTTAACAAAATCTTTTTATAATAAGTTTGTACGACCAATCTGAAATAAAATAGTTATAAGCCAATCTTGTAAATCCATAAAATAATATAGATATAGAAAAAGCACTAGATGATTTTTTATAAGATATGCCTAAAGCAAACTGAATTCTCTAATATTAACAAAAAATCAAATATGGTAAAAGAGATGATGATAATACTAAAATTGACATTATTAAAAATGGTTTTGTGGACAATGACTCGGTGAATGTAATTGAATAATCATATGATTCATCATTCTCATTTGAAGAATGCTAGCAATTTTATTATTATTTTAGATCTAAATGTGTAAATTCTAAGAGATCATAATCAACAACATCTTCATTTGGTTATTTAACTAGTAGAACAGCAAATATTCCTAAAATCAAAACCCAAAATGTCAATTCTTTAAAAGATCTCCTAGTTTGAAGATTATAGCATTCTCCACAAAAATATTTATTGTTATCAAAATATAATTCTAGTTAATTTTCTTAATTTGAATTAAAGATTAGTAATCCAAAAAAGGCACCTATTCCAATGAAAATTTAGAATATTGAATTTAAGTGTTCTATGAAATGTACATAAAGCTAATACATTTTTATTTAACAAAGTATCTCTATGTTATGAGAAATGGAGTTGGGTACAAAATTCCTATTGATGGAGCAATGATAAATAGCTAAAGAAAAACATGGAGGAACCAATTCTTTTTTTAAACTATTCAAATATTTATACTTAATCAAATATAGCTATCAGCATAAAAGAAATCCCGATGGAGCAAACAAAGATGCAGATTAAAGTTTGAGGTCCTAATTTCTTTAGGAAGAAATCACTATGAGGTATGAACAAATTCATAATAAAAATCATAAGTGCATAACTTATATAGATAATGTATTAGTGATCAAGTTCTTTATATCCAATTAAGATTTCATGATATGATTACAAAATTGGCCATGCAAAAAACAATCCAATAATCTATCTTTAATAAATAAATTACTAACTTAACAAGCATACCTGATATCAATGGTTTCGTTCTTTCTTATTTAAAATTCATTATCTATTTAAGAATCTCCCTATAATTAGGGTTCATCAATTTAAATAAAAATAATTATATATATGTACAAAAATAGTTGCCTTGATATTATAATGCAAGTTTTTATGTGACAAATACTATATTAATAATTAATAATTAATTTGATACCTTAAGCAATTATAGCTATTAGTACAAATATGATTATTGTTTGTTTATATTGCAGTTATATTTACTAATAAATGGAATATGTTTAAGTGATAATAAGGAGATATTTTTATTATTTTTTTGTATCAATTTTTGGTAGGAATTGTAAATTTTAAGTAAGAATAGAATAATGCTGAAAAATAAAATTATAGTGAAAGTAGTTGTTTGGTATTAATTCTAATTTATGAGAATGAAAGAGTAGTTGGATTCATGTTCATATAGTTATTTAAGTTTAGTAAAGTGTGTGAGATGGGTATGGATTCAATTTAGAATAAAAATAAAAGAGATAATTGAGATATATAAAAGTGAATTTGTTTTTAAAATGATATGTGAGATAGTAAATAATATAATATAATAAAAAAAAATCAAATGTAATAAGTGACTCCTGCTTATGTAAGAAGTTTGAATGGAATCACACAAGAGTATTTGATAGATATAAATAAGTTTTTTGTGTCCAGTGAATGCAAACACTTACAATATTTAATTCTTGAAATTTAGAATTAGAGATATGGATTCAGGATAGACATTATTTGAGGTAGAGAGAGATCAGGATGAAGAGTCAATAGGTATTTATTTTATGTTAATTTATGATAGAAAATTTACCTCCTGAATATCAAGACGAGGCTAGGAGAATAAAATATCATTTTGGACCTTAATTTTTTGAATTAAAGACTGTAGGTGCATAATTGACTTTTTCTGTGGGTAACAAGCCAGTGAAGAACTTTACAATAATAGAGCGACATTATTTTAGGGATCATCTATTAAGAAGCTATGAATTCCAATTTCCTTTTTGCATACCAAACTCAACAAACACTTGGGAACACATTTATACAATTCCAGAGATAGATGAAGCAATGGTAATGAATATTAGTATAAATTTATAGAGATAAGAAATGATAAATAATCCATTTTAGACAAAATCAGATAGTTTTTATTTTGTTGGAGATCAATTGGTAATGCATAATAAGGCAGAATACGATTATTCACCTTTTGATTGATATATATTAAGAAATGTATTAATATATCATAATTTGGATTTGACCATATTTTGGTTGACAAGCACTTCAAATGCTTTGGGTGTTATAGACCAAGTAGTAGTATATTATTACATTTATTCAACCCATAATTCAAAAGTGAGAATGTCTTCTTCTCTTCCATTTTTTGAAATCAATTCTAACATTTATCCTCCCACAAATGCTTCACATAATCTAATTATTAATAATATGAATACATAAAACATAAATCTCTGATTCTCATTTCTGAGTACTTAACACTTCCTTTTAAAATGTTTGATAATTCAGCTATAATTCCATTATGATTAATAGTCATTTTGGCTATATAAGGAATGAAAGATTTTCTAGTTTCTGGTAATTGCGTATCAGCTGATAATTAAGTCATCATAACATGAGTGTGAAATCTTGCATATATATCTAATTTTTAAAGAGGGTCATTCTTATCATTTGATTTTAAAGCCCTTAAGAAATCCAAACATAAAACATTTGTAGTGCCTTCCCATATTGTTAGTACTTAGGCATCTCTTAACATCAATGGTATATAACTATTTTCCATATATCCTAAAGCACCTAAGGCTTCTATTCCTTCACTCATCCAATACATACAGATTTTGGCAGTATACAATTTTAATAATGGGGTTAGAATTCTAAACATTTCCTCTTCATCTTTATTAGCTACATTATTCTAAATTTTTGAGAATAATTAGGCCACTTTAAAATAGAATAAACTACAAGCCCTAACATTAAGATTGAATTTAGTAAGCATTGCTTAATGAGCAGGTTTATCTATCAAAATCTTACCAAAAGCTTTTCTCTTCAGTGAATAGTTGAGTACTATTGAATAGAGTCTATTCATTGATCCAACTGCTGAAGATGCATTGTACAATCTTGTTACATTTAACATATGACTAATTGCTTTAACACCCTTACCTTCTTCACTTATAAGAAATGCTTCACTTCCTTACAGTAATAATTCAGCTGTTGGTAATTATCTAGTACCCATTTTATCTTTCATTGTCATTATCTTTATATTATTTAAAGTTCCATCATCCTTCTTTACTCTCATTATGAATAAAGATAATGGAAATTTCTTAAATTCTTCAATTTTATTTTCTGGAACTATTCTTGCCAATGTCAATCTAATCATTAAAAAATAATAATACGTCATTTCACTATCAGTAGCTGATGAAAACCATTTGTAACCAAACAATTTATATTTATTTCCACCTTGATGTATAGCTATTGTAGTAGTTGAATTATTAACATCAGAACCCCCATCTTTTTCAGTCATCCATTATCCTGAAGTCCAAAATTTTTAAGGATCTCTTGATATCAAATTCTCGAATCCTTATTTGACTAAACTAGTTGTTTCTTAACATTAAGTTGTTGGATTGATTAACCATTATTTTAACAAATAAGCTGCACCATCTGTCATTGCCAAAGGACATCCCTATTTATTTAGGAATCAATTATTATCTTACAAATAATCCAGACACTGGTTAATACATTTACAATCTCAATAATTAAATTAATCTATTCCAAACTCCATGTTTATTTTCATATGCCATAGCTACAATTCCACACTATTTAGATCACTTCATTACTTTTGATGCATATTCTTTTTCTTTTCTCCATCCTTCACTTAGCACCAATTTATCAATTACATTCCCATAAACATCTTATTTTATTAATTTTGGAGGATTTAATTCTGCATCCACACTTAATTCATAAAGGGTATCATTGCAAAATTTTCCAAAATCTATTAATTCATCATCTATGTGTTTAAATTCATCCTTGTTATAGAGTACATTCTAAAGTTATGTTCTTAAGACTCCTCCAATCAACCAAGGATTTGATGCTTCCAATTTTGGCTAAGTCATTGATTACACTAAGTCTAAATGCTTTTACATATTATTATTTATGAAATAAGCTATTTTAGATTTTATCAATTCTGGTATTCTCATTACAAAACCAATCGATGCTTTTTATACAGATCAATTTTAAAACTTCACTTAGGAATGTTTCGATCGTCTCATTGACTTTTACACCAAATAATAAAACAATGATAAACTTAAAAGTGCTTACTTAAATCTTATGAAAGTTGTACAAAATCCTAAAGTTGAAAATCTCAATCTTTTAATATTCTGTGCTACCTATATTGCTTAAAAGGCTTATTATTATTAAAATGGTCTTAATGAATTAAGTACAAAGAATATTGAAAGGATTCATTTAGATTGTTATCATATAATAACTTTCACTCTCAATGGAGTGATTGTTTCTGATCAATATATTGAAACCAATCTAAAAAAATATTTCACTGATAAATACTTGAATTACACTAAAAAAACTGTACCTACACCTTAATATGTAAAACCTACAAAATTTTTTGGTCGACCATTAGAATTCAAAAAATTAGAAAGTGAAGAAGGATCAGAATTTGCTTAGACTCTTTCAGGAATATTTAAACCTCCTACTAAACATAGAAAACTTCCATAAGTAGAAGAAGAATCTTATTATTAAGTTAAGCAATCATATAAATCACCTCCTTTAAGAAGAATGAAAATTGATATCAATTCTATATCTCCTTCTCTTGCATAAGCATTACATAGAAGTAGTTTGGGATTTGAAAAACCAAAAATCATTAATCATCCTATAATGAAATCTTAATTAGGAGAAATGAATTTTATATAAAGACTCAAAGAACTTGAATCAGATGGTGAATAAAAAATAGAAACTAAAATATAAAGATCTCATCGATAAAATATAGTAGAGCAACATAACTTAACTTATCCTCCAAAAGAATATTTTTAGAAAAATGTTAAAGTTGATTCATTATTTAAGAATTTTTTAGAGCTCAAATACGTATTAGATTAACGTAAGGAAACTATGAGTTCAATTAAAGATATTAATGATTTTTAACCTAGAGTTCCTTATGTTCCTACTTATACTCCATATTTATAATTTGAAAGTACTCTACCTCCGAAATAGTAATTCATATAAAAAACAAGTTTCGAAATATTACCCCAATCTCATGAATTAGATAAAGCTACAATTAGTAAATTTGATATACAAGCCTAAACTACTAAATCTACTTTTAATAATTAAGTAAATTCAACATTCTTCTTCAAATCAAATAATAAGCCAAATTCTTTATCAAAAAATTCAACTCAAAATTCATTTTTTTAATATGTAAATAAGCAGAAGGAATATAAATAAAAATTTGATAGATTCCTCTCGAATGAATCATCCCCAGACAGAAATATAAATTAAATTAATAGTCAATTATTAAAAAAACAAAATTTTTTAAAGAAAAGTTTATAAAGATTAAAAAAATGAGAAATATTTTTTTCAATTTTTTTATATTTTAAACTCGATAGTGTTTGTATAAATTATATAAATTAAGAATTGGGAAAGTTTTCTTGATTTTTGCTTATTTTTTTAATTGAGAAAAAAGGGGATAAGCAAAAATAAAAAAGGAATGAATGAAATAAGATAAATTCTTATATGAATAATCCCATCAATGTCTATTAAGGGATGTTTATGAAGCTAATGATCTAACTTAATCTTTGAAGAGTTGGATAACGACATCAATGATAGCATTTTCCTCTAAAAATAATTAAATAGAAATAGTTACCTTATCTTCTAGCAGTTTCTGAAGCATAGAATTCTCTCTTTTCTTCTAAATCAGCAGTGGCACCAGCAACAGCATTTAATGAATCTTTCCATAATTTAAGTGCTTTGGCTTATTAGGCTAAGACTGCTGGGAGTTACTAAGAGAATAGAGATAATAGTATACAGTTTCCAATTTTTCAACAAGATTTGTTCTTCTTTCATGTTCTGAATTCAACCATGCAACTTCAGCATTTGTATCTGATACGTATTTAGCAAGAGCAAATGCAGCATGGATTTCTTATTCTTAGAGTGTAGCAAGTGTTGATTCTAATTCTCCTTATAAATCTTATAAAATGGAAAGAACTTATTCTCCAGTTGTTCCTTCTCTTTTAACTTCAGCAAGTGATTAGAATTTCTAGAGTGCATCTTATTAGAAAAGATGACTGTAGGCAGACAATTTGTCAGCTATTGTTTAGGCTTTTTCAACGAGTTCAACTCCAGCATTATTAGTGAGGAATCCAGCAACATCTTATTGTAAAAGTTAAACAATTGCTACGGCATCAGCATGATCAGCAAGGGATCTGACAAAAAGACCATTGGCCCAACATCTTTAATCTTAGAGTTATGCATTTCTTCTTTCGATTTCAGCAAGTCTAGATTCAGCCCAGGTTAACCATTAATATCCATCCTTTTAGAAATTATTAAATAATCATACTCTAATTTAGGCTTCAACATCTCCTCTGACTGCACCAAGAGCTTCCCATTATTATTTATTGAGGGAGGCAACATTTGTCAAATCACCAATTACTTATGAAAAGATTTCTATAAAGATATTATAGGATATAATTTACCTTCATCGGTATTATTCTTTTTGTCTGCAGCAGCTTACACTTAAACATTTTCTGTCTTGAGATCTCTCAAGAGGTTGTAAACTGATTCAACAGCATCATTTCCTCTTGTACCTGTTTAGAGGAGGACAGCAAATTTGTTTGTATCTGCAGCAAATACAGCAGCAACTAGGCAAATTGTGATGAGTGCTCTCATTTTTTTTTTAATTTAATTATCTCAAAAACGGGTTCATAATTTTGTTTAATAATAAATCATTTTATATTCAAAATTATTACTATAAATAATCATCAAAATTAAGCAGAAAACATTCTTTAAAAATGTTATTATTCTACATATAATCTTATTTACACTTCAAACCTCAATAATATATTAATATATATTTATATGATTAATTAATTATTTTAAATAATGTATCAATTATATAAATTATGTATTATATATTAAATATTTATTATTTTCCATTTTGTTTTTTTGAGCAAAAAAAGTCAATATTCAAATACTCAAAATTTTAGAATTTCCTATTATCCCATTTATTATTTAAATTCTCAATTCGACATATAAGAAATGAAATATTTTTTTGGTAATCTCTAATTTATAAGCCTTATTAGTCCATTTATAAAAATAATATGAAAACCAATTATCGTAAAACTTCTTTTGGGTAAAACAGTATCTCATAAAATTCTGATACTTAACAAGATGTGGAATTAGAAGAGATTGATATGACTAAAATGAATCACTATATTTATTATCAATCTCTCAACGCATAACAAACTTAGATTGAATAAATCGATGGAGAATTATTCATCTAAGATGTTTTGCATACTATAATTCATAAGACTATCAAAATAGCTGCAGACAATCAACTTAATAGAAAGATTCCACCTACAACTGCTACTTCATCATTATAATTAATCCTTTTACCTCTAATACAATAGTTTAATAGACCTGAAGATCCCAAGCCAGACTATAAAACTGGTGGATTTTGTGAAGATTATGAACCTGTAAACCAAATTTATATTGCAAGCCTCATATATTAAGAGAATAGTGGTTGACAGCAAATATGATAGTAGAATAGTATTAAGCACCATCATTCCATAGATAATTAACAACAGCTTAAACTTTAGTTAGATCTAAGTTAAATGTATAATGAATGATAATAAAAGGATTAAACTTAAATATAAAAGGAAAAGAAATAATTAGATCCAATGCCAATTGATCTTGATGATCAACTTGATATTAGTATAACAGAGGAATAACTTCGAACAGCTAAAGAAAAATAGATATTGGAACGTTAATAATTATTAGAATAGGAGAAGAAAAGAAAATTGAAATTAGAACAAGAAGAGTAACTGAAATACGAAATTATTGCTAAAGACAAGAAGTCTAAATAATTTACATATGATTATGATGGTAAATTAATACCTGTTATAGCAACTAAATTAACTAAATTACCACCACCAACATCTACTTTAGGGTAATAGAATTATTTATCATATAGATCTAAATTTGAAGAAGAAATCACAATGAAACCTACACAAAAGAAAAAACAATATATTAAACCAATTACATAAGGTAAGAAAAATGAGGAAGAAAAAGAGATATTTAAATTTAATTAATTAGCTCCATTAGTAATTGAGAATATGAATTTATAATCAGGAGTTACAATCATTTATGAAGGTCGTTAAAAAGAAGGAGTTAAATCTCATACTATTGATATGAATAATATGAGTAATCCAAATTTAAGGATGGCAAGACTTGAATATTTAGGATTAACATAAATTATGAATTCTAATAGAAGTTAAATGAATAATTTAACTATTAAAGCTGAAGATAAAGAAATTAAGTAAGCTTCAACAAGTTTCAATTATGAAAAATTAAAACGATTCACTAAACAGTCTCATACAGGACAAGGATAAATCAAGTAAAATATTATCTTTTATACATTTTTAGAATTAATTCTACTAAAATTTATGATTAATTAGCTTCCACTTTATTTGAAGAAGAAGAATTTATGACTGCCAGTCCAAATAAAAGATCATAAGAAAACACTTAAAAATTATAAAAAACTCCTATGGATTAATTTAATCTTTCTTTATATAAGAATACTTCTTTACAAAAAGATGCTTAATATACAAATACTTATTCTAAATTGATTACAAATAAGGCTATTGATAAGTTTATTATAATTTTATATAATAGAGATTTGAAGTAAACATTAGGAAATATGAGTAAAAGACCTAGAGAACGTAAGTTTTATTCAGAAGGGACTACTTTACCTAGCGTTAGAAGTCAACGTGTCTTATATTAAATTTGATTACAATTAATATTTCTATAAAAGATTATCATTTTAGATACAATAAGAGGACCTTAATTATTAGACTTTTTGCAATTTCTATTTCTTATGTTTAAGATGGACATTCATTTATTACACCAGAAGGTTTTTTTAAATGTTCTGTTAATTTAAAGAACTTTGTATTTTAAAATAATTCTAATAAGCATTATATCGATGTTGCTGATACAAAATATAAGGGTAAAATGAAAAGTAGATTATATTTTATTTTTAATTATTATTAAGCAATTTTTGATCCAATTAATAAACAGTAAGTAATTTATGCAAAGTGATATAGTATAAATAGCTAGAGCCATATCTTTAAGTATAAACTTTACGGCTTATTTAAAATGCAAAAGATTACACAATTATTGAATAATAGGTTTGAGAAAATTTTACATCATTTATTTTTAATAAAACTCTAGAATTATAAGATATTACATCAGAAGAGAAAAAGTTTTAAAAAGAATCAAAAACTATCAATTGATTCATAAATTTTATTTATAATTTTAGATGATGAGTTTAGTGGAATAAAAGAAATCTGTAATATATACTTTAATTAAATTAAAAATAGAAGTAGATTAAAAATAATGATATAAAATCTAATAATCTACTTTGAAATAAAAAAATCAAATTAATTATGATTCATGATAACAAATCATTCTTATTTTATCATCTAATTCTGCTTTCAAAAAATTGATAAAATCCATACTTGAACAATCTAATGTTAAACGCTTAATCTAATTTAATTATTTTATTATTTATATTCCATAAATGATATCATTTTAATCCATTTATATCCCCTTTAAATCTAAGTTCAAATTTATCACAGATTTAATTGATGCTAAACTACAAAATATACTACTAATATTAACAAACTTTGCCCTAATTAATTTAATTATAAAATAGAGATACTTATTTAATATAACTTCAAGATCTCTTACTATTGCAAAATCTCCTAATAATGACAATAATTTATCAAATTCTTGTGTATTTACTTCTTATTCAAATAAATTAATTTTAATTGACAAAACAGTTGAATTTTAAAGCTAATCTCTAAGTTTTAACTATTCATTTAAATTTAGACAATTAAGCCTTAAAAATTTCAAAGGTGGATCTTGTGTTTGATTCAAAAAAACACTTTAAAATGATATCATAGAACTTTGAGTAGCTAAGATATAAAGATCCTTGATACTGACTCTCTATTACATTGAATATTTCAAACTAAGCATTAAAATATTGGCTATTTCATCTCTTATCTAAATTAACATTAAGTTTTATTACCCATATTTATTTTTTACTTTTTAGATTAACTATTAAATTATACTTTAATCATGGATATCTTCTAATTCTTTATTTGTATAAAGGAGAGCAGCTTTAAGTATACAAACACCAAATTGCCAACTAAGATTCAATTATTAATTAATTTAATAAGAATTCAACCTTTCTGGTGGGAAATAAATTACATCATATTATTAATCAGTTCTAAGGGCATATCCTTCAATTATATATATATCTTTATATTTTTCATTAGGTTCAAGAATTCCTGTTAATTTAACATTTTCTTCATTAATAATAATAGAAGTTGTAGTTACTCTATTAGGATAACAATTATTATTGTTTAAGTAAAGAAGTGCTCTTAATAAATTTTAAATTAAATGCAAAATTTCATTTTAAGTGAATGGAATCTTTTTTGTTCTTTTCTCTTAGATAATTTCCTCTAGGTTTTATCCTTCATAAACTTCGATAGAGAATAATTTAACTACATCATACTTATTCTTTAATTAGAAAGCTTGTTCAAAATGCTACTTTTTACAAGATCTAGGTTATTTAGTTTATAAAAGCATACTATCCATTAAATTAAGTTTTGCATGTAAAAAGAAAATATGAATTACTTAGCAAACATAAGTGAAATCAGTGAATTATAAATGCATATTAAAATAATGGCTAAGTAATTCATCACTTGAAGATTTTAGAACATAAAATTTGTGTAAAATTACTTTTTTTCCTTATAATGTGCAAAGTGTTGTTTTACCAAAAAGTGATTTTTTTAGAATTTTTTGAGGTTTAATCAACTTAAAAAGTTCTTTTTTAGTTGATATTTCTTTTTATAATTCTTTTTATCGAATGAAATCTGATCCATCATTTAAAAACTCTAATAATGGTTTAATACAAGGAGGTGGTGATTTTATTAATGCAGCAAAATATTCAGATATCATTTGTTCTTTTTATTTAATAAATTTATTTTCCCCAAATAAGGATTGAAAGAATTCTTTCTTTGGAAATGGCGGAAACTTATATTTTAACATTAATATATACATTATATTCTGGATTTATATCATTCAAAATGGAATGTAAATCTGATAATTAATTAAATTTGACCCTAATATCCCTATGTCCAAGAGTTCGTGTATTGATGATACGCAATTTGTATAAAATATTATCAGAATAGGTCTCCACTCCTAATATTTTAATATCATAACTCAAAATGTTCATTATAATAAATTATAAATAAAATAAAATGATTGTTTTTAAATATCTTGGTGATATGAATATTTATATAATTTGATATCAAAATTAACTTTAAACAATTCCTACCCAACCGAATATAACTCCCAAAATAATTAAATACTAAATTCAATTTATCTCTATATTCTCTAAGATAAATAAAACAGATAATGTAATTACTTAATATTATGTAAAATGAGAGAGAGGATATACACTATATATTTGGAATGCTAAAATAAAAAAGATTTATTTAAGATCTAAAAAGAATCAAAACTATTAAATTCAAAGGTAATCTAGCTATTTTGGGTTTATATTTT